ATCAAGATGATTTTTAGTATTGTGTTGCAAAGAGATTCAGTGCAATTTAGTGATTGTCGTCTATATCGAGAACTATGACGAGGCCAGCCACGTTCCGCTTTTCTTCTCGGATTCGAGATTACTTGGCGGCTGTATCTATACAAGATTCATCGAACGATATGTGGCATAGAAGAACCGAGCATCGTGAGCGAAGATCATCGAGCATCTCAAATGTGAGCTAATCCTTTGTTGTGTATCCGTGTTGACGAGTCGTAGTTTGGATTTTAATTTAAAGTAATATATTGATTTTAAATCTATACACCTCAGGTTTCATATAGGAGAGTGTAAGCATGTTTTGTTTATTGACTATAACCGAATAAACCGTTTATATATGTTCTTATTTGAATTATAGCGAACTTCCTTTCCTGTTGCTTAGTTCAACTTAATCGCCCAGAGTCTCGCTCTACTGACTTAGCCGTTTTTATCCTTTATATCGTTTTTAATATTTATAACAACAATAATATATTACAATACATTACTGCTTAAGAAATCACAAACCAAGATGAAACTAGAAGTAGCTAGTTTGGAGGCTGGTCCGAGATTAGCTACTATCGGACTAGCCGAGGTAAGCGCCTCTCAACAGGCGATATTGCAGAGGACCATCGACGAGGCCTTATCGCAGGCCCCCGTGGGACTGGGACGAGCAACAGGCACTGAACTCGAGATTCGAGTCAATGAGATAACATCGTTCAAGACCGAACGCCGACATTTCACTGCCTACACCGTACCCAGACTGGAATACCTCCGATTCGTAAGAGTATCGTTCGATCCCTCGTACGCCGGCTCCACCTTCCAACGGTTAATAGACAGCGTGATCGGACCCGAGCTTGGCGGTTTCTCTTCCGCCTGTTTGGACGATATCATAGTAGTATCGTCCAAATTCGACGATCACGCACCCAGTCTTAAAACAGAGTTGGATATGTTGTATAGGGCTGGCCTCTCGATTGATCGAGAGAAGAATGTCTTCTGTAAGTCTGGGGCCACATACCTTGGTTTGTCGATTACCCACAACAGAACCGGACGAGATGACGATTTACCGGAAGATAGGACCCGACCACGAGATGACGACGAGATCCCTACCACCGAGGGAACCAAGGCGACGAGCGTCCCGCATAATGCGAGCGATACAACGATACACGGGAACGGGAGCGCCGACACTGCGGGTAACACACTCCAAAATGACGACGCGACAACTCCGAGCTCACCTCGCCGTACTCGTCGTAATCCCACCAGTCGAGTCCCAATAAATACCTCTCCTACTAACACGATGAAGCGCCCACGAGGGAAACCTCGTGAGTGCGCGCTAACTACATACATTACACAACATCGACAGACTACTCAAGCCCCTCCTCCCATCGTCGGGAAAAGGAAGAGGGGCAGGCCACCGAGAACACCAACCGTGAACGCATGAAACACAGCGAACGAAGGACCTGGGAGACCGACGCCAAGGACCCCACCTTCGACTCCGGCGACGAAGGCCCTGGGCAGCCGAACAGGCGTCCACCTTCGATATCCAAAACTATTCAGGATACTAACTTGCTGGATAATTACAGGATGCAGATCACGCTCGAACAATTCGAGCAAGCGGCAGCCGCCCTCATCGGCCTGGACTTGGGTCCCGCCGTTGAAGGGGTGGTACATGCCGCCTTGCACCTCATAAGTGCCCGAAGAGAAAAGGAGGAGCAAGCACGGGTGCGAGCTCACGAGAGCTCGTCATCCGTGCTCATCGAAGAACTCCCGACAGCGGACCCTACCGCGATACCGTCGACGACTCCCGGTATCGCGCACGGCGATACCACGCCGCTACCCGGACCCCCAGCGGGATCTATCCCGCTGAAGGCTCCGGCATCATCCATTGGATGACCAGGGCGCAGAATTACCCGGGAGACCAGCCAGGTGATCTTCCCCTGCCCCCGTGGGCAGGGCCACCGTTATACTACCCGGCGAATAAAGATTGAATTAAACATCACATGGACTATAATCCTTTATTATCCTCTCTCTTCTCCTCCTCGGAAGGGACAGCGCTAATGGAATTATCGTCGAGGACCCTATAGGTCCAGACTGGAAGGGGACTGTGACGGTAAACGTCAAATTAGCGCTGATTATTTAACTTAATTAATTGCTGCCTGTGAGGGCAGCACCTGCCGGGGGGACAAAATACGTAACGAAGGAATTCGGCACGCGAGCAGACGGAACGCGCGCGATTGAAATCGAACTAGGGAAGCATTGACCGTTGTTGTGTCCGCCCGCTTTCGCTATTACCGCCGCCGATTCACGTGCCCTTGACCACCAGACGCTGAGACAGTGATATCCAGCTGAGAGCCAGTTATCCAGGACTGCACCGCCAAGGAGCATCCAGCTACCAGCTTGAGGCCAAGCCGAGTGTGTGTGTGAGGTTTCGCCATCGAGGGCGAAACCATTCCGTGCGCGTATTCGCGACCCGCGAACTAAACATTAAAAACTGTTCCGTGCTGTGCGATTTGTCGCTGTGTTCTCCAATCGCCTGCAAATATAAGGTAAGCTGGCCAGCTTAATTTCGCGATCGCGATTGCGTGATTAATAATCAATTTCTAATATTCGATGCGTGCATGCAACGGCTCTAATAACAAAGAGCAGCGAGCGTACCGGCAAAGCGTGTTGCCGATGAGCGAGCGTCAACGTAAACAAACGCGCGGGCCGACCTTCTGTAGAGTATGAGGGATAATAAAAGATCCAATTTGTATTACTAACAAGTGCTTTTCGATTCACTTATACCTCATAGCTTCCACTCACTTTCCTTCGATAAGAGAACTTACTGGTTGACTGGCGCCTGTCTTTGCATGCTCTCCGATTTACCTATTGAGCACATAATTAATTACGTGCGTCCTTTTAGTGTAATTGCGCGAATAAAATAATTAAACGGTTTTACCCCGTTACACCATATAACCAAAACATTATGTTATATATGTATTCAGACGGTTTTTAAATACTAAAACATTATTAATAATGTACTACATATTATTTTAAATCATTAGCACTTATGAAATTATTATATAGGGCACTACACATAAAACTGCTACATCACGCTTACAAAGAGTACAAATAAAATCATTAAAAATCTTAAATAGTAACCGATATAACAAGCATTCTTTAACTATTGAACAATACTGCCTACTTGAAGTTGTGATGACAAATTATGATCAACATTCGCCTGACTACAAGCAATCACTATAAAAACGATGAGGAATACTATTCTACAAAATAGTACTACTCCACAAAATAGTAATAAAACAAATAAATTATAAATTCATAGAGCCATAGCACTCAAAATTTTCAAAAAATTACATTGTAATATAAAAATATTGAATACAAAAAATATATACTTAAAAAAAAAATAAGAAAATGGATCAGAACAACATTAAACTGATGAAAGATTTTAGGATAATGTATGATTATAACTGTTAATTTATTGTATTTTAAAAATTTTAAGTATTGTAGAATATATATACTCAAAAATTTAATAATATCTATGTATACAAGAATATTATAAACAGGAGACACTAGTTCGTAAGCTGAGAATTATCATATATTGTAAATAGAATTATCATATATTGTAAATTTTAGCTCTATAGATATATTATTATAATTAATTCTAATCTGTATATATTATAATCAAACTAGTTTGATAGAAAATAATCCTATGTACAGCTCAAATAGTTGTTTATTTAAATTTAACGGGCATTACCGTTACTCTAAACTAACAATACTCCGTTCTATCAATCAACGTGAAGTCCATCTAACAGTACAATCAAACTGATATTACCAGTTATTACAAAACTTATACAAACAATTAGCAATAAATCTTTAAAATAAGTAATATAGAACGTTCATTTATGATAAATCATAATAAAATAAAATACTTAATTTTTCTACAAAATAAATTGTTTGTGTTGAAAAATAGTTCTGTACTCTTTTTATGCGTTCTACTTAAAAAATTAAGATTCTGTAACATCTAGGTACCTGTAATACAATGATTGAGTATGATCAAGGATTTAGGACGTCGCTTTGTAAATTACTTTTAATAAATGGATGCTGTAATTTAAGAATTTAAAATTTAATAACGTTCTGAATTTATAGGTATTTTTTTAATATATCATGCAAAAAGAAAATAAAGCAATAAAAATATCATTTTTATCACATGATTGACGATATATCATATCGATCGATAAAGATTTATCCACATTTTTTTGGAAAATCAATAGAAGTCTCTGGCAGAATTCTGCAAAGTATTAGACCACATTACTATACTTTTTAATTGCATATTAATACAAAGTCCTACTTGTAAAAAACTTGAAACTTATCAAATCACGTATATCGAACAGACAGAAACATTACTCCATAGAAGTATGTATCAGCATTATAGCATTATAGTGCGAAATCACCAAATTTTAGATACAAATCGGTAATTTAAAAAATTTTGCTTTTATCCTACATTAGAGATCGTCCCGTTTGCTCAACGAATAACAATTCAGACCACTGTGCAAGAAGTTGTGGATTTGAGTCACAGGCATGTGAAAACTTGACTCTTGATGCTTCGCGTTCTACTTTAAAATGTAGGTTGAATTATGATGCATGTAAAAATTCTCACGTACGCTTCCAATTGCGGTAACGAGGCTGGTTACATGCTTCTCATAACTAGGAACCAAGATTAATACGTACAAATATCTATAGTGTATTTCTGCAGCATTTTAAATGAACGTAATTCTTGATGTAACAATAATAATAACAATAACATTCATTCAAATACATTATTTGAAAAAAGAACGAATATATCTTTGTTGATAATGTTAATTTGTAATGAACATATTGTTACGGTATAAATAACGTAGTAATTATATTTTTATACAAATTATAGTATGAGGCTCATTATAATAAATCTCAAATTACAAAAATAACAATAAAAAAAACAATGTTATTTCCTGTTATTGAAAAAATACATTTTATTTAATGTCATTGTATGAACATAAGAGTTTAAAATTTCAAGCATAGATTATTATTGTATATTAAAGAAATTCATTAAATTTATTCAATCAAATTATCATCTTTCATTTGTCCAAGTAAATTGAGATATAATAAAATTAATTAAATTATTATTTTGAACAAATAAGATTGTTGTACAAAATCTGATACAATATTTTCGAAAACTTATGAAACAGAATCTGAGATAATCTATATAATTTGAAATTATTCTGTTAGTGTCTTGGAACGTTTGCTCTTCTTACTCTCTCCTTTATTTAAAATGGAATATGGAATGGATAATGCGGGCTGGGTTCACAACTGAAAATATCAACAGATAATAATTAATGTAGCGCATATTAGTTTTTAGATTTTATTATGAGTCATTATAAATGTATGAAAGCTTGTATGAAAATGTTCTTTAGATAACACAGGCTTACAAAATTTCAAAAGAGTCCGGAATCAGAGACCAAGCATAGTGTAATCGATGGAATTTGGTATACTAAATTCAAATCTGGGCACAAGATTGCTCTAGCACTCTGGGATTTTTAAAATATCCTAACCTAAAAGTACAAAAACAATGTTTTTTCAAATTTTTTGGGCTTTCTTGATATCGCGAATTTTTATTCTATTACAAATCTGAAAACGGTATCGGAAAGAGCAAATCTTTTACTTCAATAAGCACTGCTGTATTTTTTAAGCCGATTATTACAACCAGAGATATCATTTATTGAAAAGTAAGAAATATAGATTTAAGGTATACACGTAATATGTAGAAAAACATTTGTATACTTGTAAAGCGCATCTTGGTAGATCACATAATAACTTTAGATTCAAAAGTGGAAAATAAAGTTTCGATTTGTTATTTAATTTCTGGAAAGTTTTTTCTCATATATTACTTGTATACCTAAAACCTAAATTTTCTACTTTTTAATGAAAGATATCTATAGTTGTAATAATTGGTTTCATAAAATTAAATAGTTTTTTTTTAATTAAGAGTAGTTCTTTTCCATGCCGTTTCCAGATTTGTAATAGAACAAAATAAAAAAAATGCCGAAAAACTACAAAAAACAGTGTTTTTTTTGCACTTTTACATTAGGTTATCTAAAAATTTAGGATAATGGAGCATTTCTGAGCCCGGATTCGAATTTAACACACCAAAGTTCTTCAGGTACACTACCTCTGATTTCTGGAAAGTGTTGGTCTGTGTAATTAATATTATTGCAGTTAAGTATGAGTAGTTTCATCAGAATTAAAGAACATTTTGTTTTATTTAATTTAATTATAGTCAAACTGTATTAAAAAATAAATTTAATTTTACCCTGTCATTGGACAAATTCTTCCATTGCAGTCAAAAGTATCAATGTACGCAATGTCTTCCTCGTTCAATTTGAAATCAAAGACTTGACTGTTCTCAAGGATGCGAGATTTTGTAACAGATTTAGGGATAACAACATGGCCTCTATCCAGCTAAATTAGAATGATCGATTAGAAATCTGATTAAAGGTTTATTAAAAATTGATTTAATTCTTGAATATCTTTAGTGTACTCACTTGATAACGGATTAAAACTTGAGCGGGTGACTTGTTGTATTTCTTGCTCAATTTAACGAGCTTCTCATCTTCCATAAGTTTTGGGTCATCAGGTTTGGCCCACGGTCTATCTGGAGAACCGAGTGGACTGTAACCAGTTATGACTATTCCTCTTTCTTTGCAGAAGGCAGATAGTGGTTTTTGAATCAAGTAGGGATGACACTCAATCTGAAGAAAGGCATACGTAATAAATAGAATTATTTATAGATATACATAATAATTATATATATTTTTTTTTCGATCAACAATTGTGCTTTTGCGTGTAAATAAAAAGTAATTTCACGGTAGATGTAAATGATAAAATTAAAAAGTATTTTACTGTAAGAAAAGATTATAAAACTGTACGTACTTGGTTATTAACAGGTTTCACTTTACAGTTCTTAAGAAGCCTGTCAATTTGTTCAGAGTTGAAGTTGCTAACACCAATGTTTTTGATAAGGCCTTTGGCAAGTACTGCTTCCATGCCCTTCCACGTATCCAAGTAGTCAACGTTATCAAGAAGTGGTGTACCTTCGGGAGTTTTAGGAAAATTGTCTGGACCATCTTTGTAGGCCATCGGCCAGTGAATGAGGTAGAGATCAAGGTACTCCACGCCCAAATCGGATAAAGTTTTCTTGAGGTTGACTTCGACAAGCTCGGTTTTATGATAAGTATTCCACAATTTGCTTGTTATGAACAAGTCCTCCCGTTTGATTGTGCCCTCGGCAATTTTGGCTGAAATCGCAGCACCTACTTCCTTCTCATTTCCATATACGTGTGCACAGTCGATATGACGGTAGCCAATGTCGATCGCATCTTTGACAGCTTGTGTCACTTCACCTGGTTTCGACTAATAATTCAAATATTTCATCAGCTTTTTTGTTGATTTTATTTATTTATTTTATCTGCATTATTTTTAAAGTAAATTTTTCTATGAAATGACTAAATAAAAATTTCGTTTCTTATTTATTGATTATTTCTGACTATAGAAGTAAAATCATGATTATATGCTTATGATAATTCTCAAAAAATGTATTCACTTATTTTCAGATAATACTTTTTATGCGTTAAACTGTTTGAATTAAAAAAAAATTTCAGCATAACATATATATTGTTGTACAACATGACTTAGTAATATACTCACGTGAAAAAGACAGGTAAAATCTTTATCCATCGATTATTAACATTGCAATTAAGTATATTTGAAAATAGTATATATAATTAATTTTTAATGTCATGATTTAACGCATCGCGAGCGCTTTTTTTTGAAACCCAGTTTATATTTAAATTCAAAATGAATATCGATAAGAATATATCAAATAGAATTTTTTAATAGTAGAACACTTTGACAACTTTTAAAATAGCTATAATAGACGGAAAGAAATTTCTCTGAAAAATTCCGTCAATGCTCACTGTAAACTTGAGACATCGATGGCATTCCCTAATTTTTATAATGATTTCCATTAATTTTTAGAAAGTGAACTCTAAGAAAGAGAACTCTAGAAGTAATTTTTATTGGTTTGACAACGGCAAAAAATTTATATTAATCAATACAACAAACAAACATCCAAATACTTTGATTAAATGAGAAAGATTTAAAAGTAATTGTTAGATTCTTCAAAATAAAAATAAATTTTTTTGTTTTAAAATTGAAGAAAGTTTTTAATATATGTAGTTGTCAACATTCAAAAATAATTCATTATTTATTGACAATACAATAAAATGCATTTTATAAAATTCGATTTTAAATAATTGTCCTTACTAATCATATTTTACATGCTCTTAATGTAAAATATAATGTAAGAAACGACAATTTGTAGTTAATAAAATCTGTTTTAAAAATATACAACTTCAAGAATAAATGTCAACATAGTTGATTTAAAAGAGTGAGGGAATTTTGACAATGAACGAATATGAAATTTTCATGAGCGCCATTAAAAAAATTATGCGTTTTTCATGAAATTTTTTAGAATAACATTTAGTTTTTAGGTAATTTCAGATAAAAATTATCATGTGTTAATAATTTTTATCGATCAGTCATGATGTACCAAGATTACGGTTACGTATTGTAATTTTTGTAACGAATTTCGTTATAATTTTTAAGAGGAAATTCTCTCCGTGTAAAAACTTCACATCTTGCAACGCTATTTTTAATAATGTTAGTACAAGTATGATTCTTTATTCATTCTTATTTTAAGCATACGCATGAGAAAATTTTTTCTGGCTATTTTGAGACTTTTATGTTGCTGCACGGAAACTAATAAACGGTAAACTCTGTGGATTCAACGGCGAAGTAATTTTCTTAGTATTTTTGAGTAAATAAAAAAATCTTTATCTCGAATCCAGATAACGACCGGAATGATTGATCTATTTTACATAGCGTATAATTTGCGAATAACTGATAGTGGCTCATGACGAATTTCAAATTTTCTTTTTAGATAAATGTTAGTTCTTATAAATTATTTATCGTGATACGATCATATTTTTGAGGTAAAGATATAACATTTTTAACTGCAAAAATTTATGAAAAATTATTATTTGCAGTTTATATAATAATTTTTACAAAAAAATACTTCGTATAGAATCTTGAAAATTAGTCAATCTTCTCTTGCTTGCCTTAACTCGAATATTACTAATAACAATAAGTACTGTAATATAAAAATATATAAAAGATTACTTTAATAAAAAAATGCAAAATATTTGAACATATAAAAAGTTGAATAAATATGAAATGCGAGAAAATTTGATGATAACCAAGTATTTAATGGGTAATAAAGTTTAAAAAACAAGATAAGTAAGTAAAGTAAAAATTCATATATTTTTTATAGAAATAAAGATGAATTAATACGCTTTGTGGAAAAATATTAGAAATAAATAGAATAGTATAGAATTTGTATGACTAAAAATTGATTTTTAAGCAAATCTAACGAACAGAACAATAACTAACCACACACTATTTGTAACATCTAAAAAAAATTATCAATACATTAACCTCACCTTCCACGTTCCCAAACCAAAAGCTGGAATTTCATTTCCGTTATAGAACTTGATTTTTGGTACATTTAAAGCCATATTGAATGAGATGAAGCTTCTAGAATTCTCTATGTTAAAAAGCGGCAACTCACTTCAACGCTCAAATTATCACTGAAAAAGTTTTAAGCACATTCGATTGCCGGCGTTGCCGGTACATACACACATATTTAACACATTATATGTATACGCACATTTACACTCCTATACCCCCTCTCTAACATTCACCAGACACGCACTATATGAACTACATCCCGCGGTTAACATGGCCATGGTCATTAGTCTAACGTATTTTATTTGTATTGATATATTAACATAACGAATAATTCTATATAATAATAATATAAAATATATAATAGAATAATCTATATAACAATTCTATATAATAATATATAAAATATATACGTTAATTCATACACGCCAGGTAAATAAAACAAAAAAAAACATATTATTTGTAATTTTTATATCGCAAATAAATAGAAACATGAACAATTATACTCTGAATCAAATGTTTTAATAAATTTTCCAAATAATAATAAATTTGTGTATAAAAGAATATTCCGAAGTTAGAGTATTAAGATGAATGTAGCGTGGAAAAGTACTCGGGCGGTTACTAATTCAGTCTTGACATCTGCAGCAACCGCTATCTAACGTGATTATGACTCCATGTATTAGTTTCATCATTGTTTACTTTTAGAAGTAAAAAGTTATTAGCAATCAGAAATCGTAGCAAGCGTTAAAAATTAATTGACTATGAAATTTCAGCTGAGCAAGTATTTATGAATTTCTTTGAATTTTAGAAATATATAAAAGATGACATCGGAATAATATAACCTTGTTATATTGGGCTACATTTATAAAATTTTTTCATGAATTTTCGCGAATAAAATTTATACAAACTATTACATATATAGTAATTTTGAAATTTTGTATTCATGAAAATGTAATTTAATGTAACGATCAGATTTATTTCCGATTTTTTAACTGTTACTTTTTATTATCACGATATTTGATAGTTTATTATTAAATTAAAAATTGACAAGTCTTATATATTTTACGTCAAACGAGGAATAAACATGGCTATTGCAAATTAATTTTGGATTGTTTAACGGCGTCATCAACAACTGACCAATTGCGTTTTCTATCGTAATAAGTTCCAAAAGGAAGTACATCCTCAAAATATTACGAGTTCATCGTACCTACAGTACCAAGATTTGTAACGATTAGATAACATTACGTACGGGTGGAAGATTCTTTAATGGGATCAAATGATGGAAAGTAACAGCTACCACGGTTAAAATATTCCATAAACTCTGGGCTACTTCATACATGATTGACGAAACAATTTAGAGTATAGGGACGCTTTATTTGAGAATGTTACCAAGGACAAATATTGCAGTTAAAAGGCTACATTAGCGAATTTACTGATTGCATGATAAATGTCTTATAGTAGTCAGAAATTATTATGACTCAACGTGTAAGAGCCCGCAATTCCTAGCGTAAAAAAATTATTTTTTTTGTTTTTTAAATGATGGATCACCGACATCATATGTAAGATTCATATTTTAACACTAAATTCAATTTATATATAATTATAATATGGATAAGAATATACAAGAATCGAAATGCGCTGTTAATAAATTTTTTTAAGAAAAGCAGTGGTGACGTTGTAGAATTACTCTGCAATTATTAGTACAAATCGATAATTTAATTACCATCTGTGATAATAAAATAATATTGTCGTTTTAAAATTTTGTTGGAAAAGAGAAAGTAAATAGAATAAAATAAAGCAAAATACATTTTTTATTTTTATACATTGTGAACTAAGAGATGCAAACTCATCAAAATACTAAATTCATGACATTTGAATATTCACAGATGTTTTCGATGAAACAATTAAAAAACCATCGTTATAAAAATATAGATGTACACTATATCTATGTCTCATTACACTTATGTAGAAAGCCTCTAAATTTGTAGGGCTTGAAAAGTCCTACAATTTGAAAGACATATTCTAGCTCCAAAATTTACCAAGATATCAAAAACGTAAATTTCAATGTATAATTTTTACGCACGCACACATATTTTAAGGTTTAAAAATTTAGACATTAAATATTCTATATTGATATCCAACATGAAGACATATTCACTTTTTCACATAAGACAGAAAAAGATTCGACTTTCTTATCCGGCTATACGCTTTGCTAAACTTATTCATACAAAAATTATTGTTACATTTTATTAATTACAGCCTCTTGTTACGATATTAGTCAATAAAATTTTATAAAAACCATCGCAATGTGTTTCTTATCATCGAAAAATTTGTTGATAATTAAATAAATAATTTTATTAAAGCTTCTAAAGGCTTAATAACCTCTTCATTTTTTGGAGTCTCGTCTGAACCTCCGGCGAGGAAAGACGTGTTTACAAACAGGAGCGAGAACGAGTGCTTACCACAGCGCATGGTAGCAAAGTACACGCTTGTGACTGTTTCTATATAGCGCTGTTCTAGTGTATAGTGATTATACACTAGTGAGATAGTGCGTGTGCACTATCTCAGCTGTGAACTCTCAAACCTTCAAGATGACCTCTGACTACAGGGGCCCCATCTCTCAAAGTACCTCATCTCCAAATGGAATAAACCCCTCACAGATCCAAATCAAACCCAAAGTGTCTTACTCCAGAGTAGCGCAGATTACTCAATTTCCCAAAAAAGATCAAGCCATTGTTACCGATGTTATTGAAGGATTAACAATCAAAGACTATACTCTCGCCATCGGAGCAATTGTCAAGCCTGTCAACATCCTCTTTGTCTCAAGAATTTCGAATAGCAGAATCTGTGCATACCTAAGTTCACAGGAATTAGTCGACAAGCTTACTGAGCCGGGCATGAAAGTAAACATCGACCAGCACATTCTTACGCCACGACCTCTGATATCCAAAGCAAAGAGAACAATTATTTCCAACGTTTGCCCTATTATTCCTCATTACATTATCGAAGATGAAATCAAGGCCCGAGCGGAGTACGCTCATGTCTTGAGCTTTAGGCGACAAGTATACATAAACCCCGAAAACTTCGAAAAGCTCCGGAGTAGCATGAAAATCGAGTACGACAAAACAACATATTGGATATATTTCTCGAGCGGTAAAATTGGCTGCTTCTTATGCAGAGAAGAGGGTCACGAGACTAAGAACTGGAAAGCACACGAAGTAAACAATAGCGCAGACGCAGATATGGTAGTAGACTCAAGTAATGACCAAAACAAAAGCAATGTAAGTGACATGACAGAATAGATTATTATACGCTGCAAAAACTACCAATCAAATATAAGCTTCTTCTTTTCGACATTCTCAATGAAATGTACACCACTAGCGATTTCCCGGCCGATTGGAAAAAATCTTATGTGCATCTCATTCCTAAGCCTGATAATAAAGGTTATAGACCTATCGCTCTTACATCCGCTCTATGTAAGCTGTTTGAAACTATGATAAAAAATAAACTTCAATGGTGGGTTGAGACACAAAAGATACTTCCAGATAGCCAAAGCGGCTTCCGAAAAGGTCAATCTTGTCAAGACAATTTACTTAATTTAACGATCTCGGTTTAATCAGCTTTTCGTAGAAAGAAAGATGTATTTGCTGCTTTTCTTGACGTTAAAGGAGCATTCGATAACGTTAACATTAAAACACTACTCGATGAACTCGCGAAAATTGGCTGTCCTCTTATGTTAATTAAATTTATAAAGTTTATAACAATGGAAAGACAAGTCTTTGCGGATGAAATCACAGAACCTAAAATAGCATATAAAGGTGTACCGCAAGGAGGAGTCTTAAGTCCGCTCCTCTATATAATTTTTGTAGCTAATATAATAAATAACATATCAAGTAGAGTTTTAATATCACAATTCGCAGATGACATAGCGCTTTACTCTAACAATTTAAAATCTCTTCAGAAAGCAGTTGATCAAATAAAAACAAATCTCTCAATTATAGATCTACTTCTTGCTCCAGAAAAAACTATTTTCATTCATTTTAATAATAAAGATATTAAGCCCGGAGAAACAGTTATTAAAATGGATAATCTGGTAATAAAGTCCAGCGAATCGACCAAATTCCTCGGAGTAATTTTTGATTACAAACTGACCATTATCCCACAAATAAACAAAGTCATCTCTCGATGTGCCAGAGCATCGAATTTGATTAAATACTTACAAGGAATTTGGTGGGGTGCAGACCCAACGACACTGTTAACACTCTACAAAAGCTATGTTAGGTCGATAATAGAATATGCGCTATACGTATACTACCCAAAACGCAAAGAACAGCAGGTTAAATTAGAAAGAATACAATTCAACGCTATCAGACTTGCACTCAGATTCCGCAAAACGACTCCTACTAGAATTTTATTAGCTGAATCCAAACTACCTACCATTCACGAAAGAGCAAAGTTTCTTTGTAACACTTACATAGCAAAAATTCTATCGAATGAAAGCTTGGCTATAAACAAAACTGTCAAAAAGTACTATACCCGAAACCATAAAAGCAAAAGAAAAAAGAAAAGGATCTATGAAACTTACATCGAAAACGTAGTTTGTCTTGCAAAAAATACAATCAAGTCACGAAATTATAGTATTTATATGTATTACTACAGCATCATTATGAACCCAGTCCCGTTTAAGAAAATAACTGAATTAAAACGACAGCAAAATATATCTTTGAAACAAATATGTAATGACTTGAACTCTCCAAATTCTAAAATTTCAATACTGACGGCAGTAGAAGTGAATCCGCTCTCTCTACTGGCTCAGCCTGTGTAGATCTTAAGGAAAATATTGTAATTAATAGAAGCCTAAACAAAAAAACTTCAGTGTTTACCGCCGAATGTATAGCAGTAAGAGATGCGTTAGATCTGGCTCTTCATAACACTGATACCTGCAATATCATTATGTGTGACTCGCTCAGTCTTCTCGAACGCTTACAAAATCCAATGATGAACATCAAAACTAAGCCTTACCTATCAGATATTAAACTTAAATATTTTCAATTTCAAGACCAAAAAAATGCAACTGGAGACATTCAAATCTATTGGATTCCTTCACACTCAGCGACCACGGGTAATGAAATTGCAGACGCACAAGCTAAACATGCAGCAAGTCGTAGACCGGTTGACTTAGATAAACTTCCCTTCTCCGACTTGAAAGAATCTTTTAAATGCAGCATGAAGGACAATACCAAAATGACACTCTTAAATACTGACCTGGATAAAGGCAAACACTACTTTGACCGCTATTATAAAGACTGTAACAAACCGTGGTTCCAAGGAAAAAAGCTCTCGCGTGAGTTTATAATTACAATAAACCGGCTGAGAGCAAATCATTACAATCTAAATGCGTCTCTCGCTAGGATGTCAATTATCGGAGATGCCAGTTGTCCGTGTTCATATCCTTCCCAAGATATTGAACGCTTAGTTTTAAAATGTCTAGGAACGTAGTGAATCACAAAAAAACTAAAACTAAGCGTAAAAAAAAAGTTAAATTCCTTAATTTTTTTAATGCGCTAAAAAACCGAAAAAAAATTTTTTCTCTATTTCTTTATTTTAACTTTATTTTCGTATTCTTAGACACAAAATGAAACTTTTTTCTCTTTGGCATTTTTTTCCAAAACGTACGCAAGTCGAAGTAATTGAGGATTGGAAAAAAAGGTTGCTTTTTACAAAAAACGCCGTAACTCGGTTAAAAAACATCGGATAGAACCCCGCGGGAGCTCATTTTAAAGGGAAAGACATTACCCTCCGAACACCTCAGGTCGATTTGCCCTCCACCGCCTGGTTCTAAATTGGCATTGATTTAAGTCGAGGTTAAAAAAATTTCAATTTTTTTAATCAGTTTTTTTACTATAAAAAACACATATTTTCATTTTTAAGTCTCTGCACGTCTTAAATGGAAGCTTTTGCAATTACCTTTAAAATGTCCTGCGGTGTTTTGTGATACGATGATTTCCGACCGAGATACAAAACTTCAAGTTTACCTAATTTTGAGGTAAGCATGGCAAAAGTGATTGACGGGCAGTGTATATCTTGAATTCAGCAGCATGAATATTTAACGCGTTGCGAAATAAATTTGTAGATCATATCTATTTTCCCATACAATATAATGTTTCTAACTGTTTTGCACCTAGCGAAAACGTAATCGCTTCAACAATAAATGTAATCAATATTAGTTGTCTTTCAAAGTTTTTATTTTCATAAATAATTCTTAATTATTAATCCATTTTTTTGTTTTCTTTGAATATTTATTGATCAGTGTAAAATATAGATATATAATATTTTACTTCATTTTTTAAAAATAACCAAGTGGATGCGCAAAAAGGAATATGAAACATCCGTAGAACTGTAAATCTATTCTATATTGATTATAAAGATAAGATAGAAATTAAAATGGAATGTTAAATGGGTAGTATTTAGAGTCCACTGCCCTGAAATGAAAAAAATTAAATTGTATTTATAGCAATTTATATTAATTTAAATTACTGTTAGAAAAACTTTTTTACTCTGCCATTGCAGCTACCCTATCTCCGGTCTGGATAGATTGAATAGAATGCATTTCATCTTCCGTCAAAACAAAATCAAAAATGTCGAAATTTTCTTTAATACGTAAAGGAGTGACAGATTTAGGTATTGGTGCCGCGCCCATTTGCAGCTAAAATTATGTTTATCGATTTTACAAAATAAAATAATGGAAAATCATTTCAACATACAAATAAATTAAATATATATGTACCACAAATCTGCATGCAACCTGAGCTGCAGTTTTACCGTATTTTTTCATAATTTCTTGAACTACTTGGTGATCCCATGAGTTTTTAATTCCGTATCGATTGCCAGGTCTGCCGAGAGGAGAATATGCAGTAATTGTTATATCGTGTTTTTTACAGAAATCTACTAAATGTTTCTGATTTAAGTTTATAGACAACTCAATCTAAAATATTATCGTATTTATAGATAAAGTTACATAAAAAAGCACAACACGAATTCATTTAAGTGTATATACTTTAAATATACTTTTTAAAGTAATAATTATAAATATATACCTGATTATTTACTGGTTTGATTTTAGCTTCAGCCAGTAAACGTGTAATTTGTTCTGAATTAAAATTACTGATACCTATACTTTTTGTAAGATTTTCCAATTTACAAGCTTCCATTCCTTTCCATGTTTCCAAATAATCGGTATCAGAAAGTATTAATTTTCCAGAAGCATCTTTTGGCATTAATTCATCTCCTTCCTAAATAACAAAAAAAAACAATTCAGGAAACATAAAAATTAATATTACTACAAATTAAATGTATAATCAAATGATACTTTGAATGCAAACGGCCAATGAATGAGATACAAGTCAACATAATCAAGTCCAAGATTTTGTAACGATTTTTTGCAAGCAGGAACAACCATATCTTCTTTATGAGCATTACTCCAAAGCTTTGATAGTAAAGCTATTAATTGTTGATCTTTAGTAAAGTATTTGAAATAAAACAATATAAAACAAACCTTTGTCGTTACAAAAATGTCTTTTCTTTTCACAGTACCATCTTTAATTTTTTCTCGAATAGCATCACCAACTTCTTTTTCATTGTTATAAAATGATGCAGTATCAATATGCCGATAACCAATTTCAATGGCATACTTTACCGCTTCTCTCACTTCCCCATGCTGTGACTAAAATCGATGATTCATTTTAACATTTCATTGTTTATTTTTTTATATATCTTTATTGAGACATAAAACAAGATTTATTTTCAGATGCATACGGTAATCTTTTTACAAATGAAAGATCTCAGCAGTAAATTGATGAAAATTAATATTGAAAAATTATAGAAAAAATGTGTGTGATCAACAAGGATAGTTAAACTTATTGATAATTACGTGCAATTCAAATTTTGTTAATAAAAAAATTACAAAAGTTGAACGCTCCCAGATTAATAGAAATAAAATCTACGTAGTTGTTCAATTCCGTACTAATAAGAACGAGTATGTTGAATCGTTCAATCAAAATATAATTGTAATCATCAGTTATAAAGAAATAAATATTATTTCTCATTACTATGATACATGCACCTGAAATGTTAGTAGGTACTATCCCCTTATAAAAAAGTGATGGAAGCCATATTGAAGCATTTTATTCATGACTTGATTTGCCCAAATGAAAAAAATCACGAGAATTCAAATTGATTTTAGTTGATTTTTTATTTCAGATTTAATTTAATTTGTTTTTAGCAAATAAATAAAATATAAAAAATATAATCTTTCATTCATCATTTATAATCATAATGTAGTTCATTGTTTATCAGTATTACCCCTTATAAAAAAGTGATGGATGCCACGTTGAAGCATATAGTGATCTGATGGCTGAGATATAATTGCGTGATATACTTATGTGGCGGAAAATAAGCATATAGGTGTGGTTTGAGTTGAGATTTTACTAATAAAAATTTAAATCATCATAATTTATCATACGGATAATTTTGAAGATAAGGAAGTAAAAAAGTAGACTGTAATATTGTTTATACACTCATAATATGAAACTAATAACGAAGAAATCGTTTCATACAAATAATATAGGTTGAAATTGCTCTAAATATTTTCTATTAATAATCGAAAATTTGGTTTTTAAATGTGTAAAATAAAAGTTGTAATGTTGCAATCTTTATTCAAAATGTAGAATAAAAGTTTAATAATAAATTAACCCGTTGAAAAAAAAATAGTATAAGATTATATTTATTGCAGTTTTTGATATAATAAATCATAAATTTGAAAACGTGTTTCATCACTAATACACATTTTCCGCTGTGATATGGATTTAAAAAAAAAATTGAGAAATCTACCTTTGAAAAAAGTAATTTGTTAAATATGTTAATATTGATATAACAATAAGAAATGGAAAATAAAATAAAAGCACGCATAGTGTATCTAATCCTACATATTTTTATTTTCCTGTATGAAAAAGTGATACTGAGTAAACCTCAAAATAAAAACTAACTGATACATAGATAGAGAAATTATTTTAACTTTGCTCTGTGCGACAGTTTAGTTTAAAATAAATAAATTAGGCAATAACAGGTATAAATTGATAGATTATTATGATAAAATATTGTACAGTGATACCCTTTATTAAATTATGTAAAATATTAGAAAATTATTATGAATTTTTTTAAACATCTACTGAAGTATGTTATTTACATTGACAAACATATAATTATAGAGAGCTATAATGTTTTTTGAACTTATACAACATTTTTATCGTGTTATTCAAACTTTTGAACTTACAACACAGAGCTTTGGATGATAATAAAAACTTAAAACTTCATTAATAACATGTTTAAATCATGAGTATCAACGTAACTATGTATTTATTCATCAATAAATAATATCGTCGACTATATCTCATATAAAATCATGAAAATATTTAATGCGTATTGAATTTTCGAATTTTTAATTTTGCGAATAAATGTTTTGATCCATATTCGGGCATTGAAATAAATGCGAAAAAAGACAATAAAGATGAGCGCTCGAAATGTGTTAGACATCACTAGTATTTATAAAAATCGTATTAAAACGCTACGTAAATTCAATTTCTACCAATCTAAAAGTGTTTAATTTTTGAAACATTTTTATTAACAAACACTAAATTACGTAGAATTATCAATCAGTTTTGCTATCCTTGTTAATCACGCGTAGTTTTTTTAATCATTTATTTGTCCGAGCCAATTTCTGTTTATTTCAAAAAATTTGCGTAAACAGAAGTAGAATACTTTTTTAAGTTGAACATATTGTAACGGTCCTATTTATGAGCTGTTTATTAAATGACTGCAACTAGTCTAACGTATTTATCTGTTAGTCAAAACAACACATTAAGCGGCGCTACCTCACTGTTTACGCGACTGTATACAAATAAGAGTCGAGTCAAAACAAATAGCGTGACGTCACAAATAATAGACATAGATATAATGAACCATAATATTCAGAAAAATATGTTAATTATAGATAATTTGAATATAACAAAGTATCAATTATATAGATTTTAACATACAGATTCACAATATCTCATTCAATTATAAATTAACAATGAATATCGATATGTAAAGTTAATTTATTTATTAACATATGAAATATTAGAAGAATATAAATAATTTATATGCAAAATGAATAAGCATAGAACATGAGTAAGAATTGGTTTCATTAATAACAGCAGAATAACAACTGTTATTAATAAATAAACAATTAATAATTTATTTAAACAATAAGCTATATATAGAACGAAAATATTAAGTTAATAATTGATAATGACAATTTTATGATTTAGAAATCTTGGATAATTAATCTAATAATCGCATATTAAGATTAGAAGAAAACCGTTACAAATATGAAAAATTAGTCATAATTCAAATGTTATTAATTAATTTAAATAATTAATTTTGGATAATACTTCCAAAATTAATTAACTATAAAGCTATATGAAATTCTAATAATTTTCTATTGTAAATAATGTAATATCACGTCAATTAACTTTATTAGTTAATAACTTTTGACGACACTATTGGCGATAATTGTATACTATATAAAATTAACAAATAACTAACTCTGTAAAATTTACATGTGTTAAAAACTTAATATTAATGGTTATTTACTTGTAAATTAAGAAAAATCATTTCTCAAAATTCGCGAATGTCTCTCGAATTTTCGATGAAATCTCTCCTGCAATAATAAGCGGGAAAATCTGTGTATAAATAGGCCCACCTTTGCACAGGCTAGATTCATTCACTTCTAGCCTTGCAAAGTGAGCGCATGAGTCTGAATAAACTTGGATTAACACCTAAGTTCTTTCTCTCATTGTGATTTACTAAGCAAGACTAACCTTTCCTTATAATTTGAGCTCGACTTATAGAACATCTCGCGCTATAAGAAACTTGGGCCGAATTATATCCTATCAAAGAAAGACTTTAGCTCTGCTTATGGGACAATTCGCACCATAAGAAACTAGGGCATTGTCTGACTTTCCTCGACATATCGCAATTACTTATATATATTTGATTTACTTATTTATTATATTTGTTTCATTTATCTATCTTCTTGACAATTAGAGTAAAATCATCAGAAACAAATTCTTACTCATTAGCTACATTACAAGAGTTCGAACTATTTTTATTTATAAGTGATACGAACATCACATATATGTACGGTGTCTGGATATTAATTTACGACCCCCGAAAGTCAAAATCCAAATTATTTTCGACGATTAAGCATCAAATGGATTTTTGACAAGTTACGAGGAACAACTTGCCAAAATAAACCCTTGATCTAACTTTATTTGATGTCATCACTGTTATCCATGCTCAATCGTCAAAATAATTCGGATTTTGAACTTCGCGGGTCACGAATTAATGTCCACGCAGAGTACAAATACTAATGTATTTCACGTAAAATACATAGTGTATTCAAAAATGACATTACTCGTATAATTCACGCAAACAAAGAACCTTTAATAGGTTAGATTTTTGGACATTTACATAAGCTAATATTTGATAAAATATACTGATATGATTAATAATTAAAAATAAAATTGTTACTGAAATTTATTTACCAGATATGTACCTAAACCAAACATTGGCATTTTCTGTTCATCGTTGAAAATAGCGAAAGGCACAGCCATATTTTTGATCCACAAGAACGCACAGTTTCGAGTTTCGACTGTTTGAACATGTACTTTCTTGATAGATACAATGACATTAATGTAGGTTTATCATTGCACATGAGTGCGTGTCTATGAAAGATTGGAGTTACCTTTCATAATTTTTGCTATTTTCACATTGAATTATTTTAATCCTTAATCATACATAATTTATTTTTAAAATACATTAATTTGATTGGCATGACAATTTAAAATTAATTTTTTTTATACAGCCATATTTATAATTTGAGTAAAAATTAATAACATAATCAAAATTATTTCACTTTTAAAATGCGATACAGTAACGAAAGTTAGTATAAGCACATTATATAGTAGAATAAAGAACTTTTTTCATTACATTTCTCAAATGGGTAGGAGAAAATGTTACAATTAATTTTATTAAATAAATAAAATCTTTTATGAAATATACTTTTTTGACTATCTGGTAAGTTGATTACAATGATTTTATAATAATTATGGCACGAATTTGATTGTTTTCCATCCGATTGAGAATTTTATTTAATTCTTTATCACGCAAATTTTAAAAGCTTTCTTTTGTTTAATTATAAAACAAAACAAGAAAATATAAATGTTTTGTCATACACGAATCTTAATTCCACAAAAAGAAATATTTCATTACGATGACTGTGCATCATTATAATATTATTATCATGCACGTTGAATTTTTATTGGAAATCAAAAGGGATTATGGGTGAATAAAATACATTCGGATGAAATTTTATATATATAGTGTAAGATGTTATTGTGTAAAAATAGAATGAACAATATAATAAAAAAGATGTAATTTAGCAATGACATTTTTTATTCACATAGATCAGTATTTTGAATACATCAAAATGGTATTTTAAAAGGATAGTATATACTTTCTTTAGCACTGAAAAAATAAAATTTTTATAAATTTTATATGTTCTTCAATTAAAATTATTTCAACTAATTTTTCAACTTAGTATTTTTTACCTTTCTACAGTCATCATTCGCCTACCCGTTTCGATCGCACGCAGTTCAATTATTTCATCTGGAGTTAAAGTAAAGTCGAAAATTTCAAAATTTTCTTTTATTCTGGATTTATTGGCTGATTTAGGTATTACCGCTGCGCCTAGTTGCGTCTAAAAGTGATAACATATTAACGTTTTCGTTTTATATCTTGCTTAAAATTAATTGAATAGAACGTACAATAAATCGCAAAGCGATTTGAGCAGCTGATTTATTATATTTTTTTCGAAGATTTTGAATAGCCATGCTGCCCCATAAGTTATCCAAACCAACAGAATTGCCAGGTTTCCCAAGAGGAGAGTAACCAGTCACCGAAATATTTTTGCTTTTACAAAAGTCTATTAAAGGCTTTTGATTTAAATTCAAAGATATTTCAACCTTTGTTCATGAATAGGATTATATATTTTTTTTTAATTTGAGAACAGATATAACTAAATAGTATTTATTTCAAAATAATTATATTAAATAAAAGCTATACTATCTATAGTGTTCTGTAAAAGAATATACGAAAATTTGTCAACGTACCTGATTGTTGACGGGTTTTATTTCCGCTTTAGATAGCAATCGACAAATTTGTTCAGAATTAAAATTACTAAGGCCAATACTACGAGTAAGTCCCAGCTCTTGGCACTTTTCCATTCCTTTCCACGTCTCTAGATAATCAATGTCATCAGCTAATATCGTTTCTCCACGATTTTTAAGAGATACAAAATCGGTACCTTTCTGTGTAATAATATAAAATATTTATCATGTACAAATAATTTGATTTCAAGTGCTGTTAATTCAAAGTATTAAATTATTACTATAAGAGCGAATGGCCAATGAATAAGATAAAGATCTACGTATTCTAAACCAAGATCCTTAAGAGACATCTCGAGTGCCGGTACAACTTCGTGTTCCCTATGTGAATAAGACCATAACTAATAAAAATTTTTTTAGCTTTCATATTATTTCAATTAAACAAGAAAAGGATTTTACAAAATAAAATGTTATGCCTACTTTACTTGTTATAAATAAATCTTCTCGTTTTACGGTACAGTCATTTATTTTTTCACGTATCGCTGCTCCAATGTATTTTTCATTTCCATATAGATATGCTGTATCTATTAGGCGGTAACCAATGTCTATTGCATATTTTACAGCTTCGATTAACTCTAATGGTTCTACCTGCATATGAAACATTGTATGCGTCATCGTTTTAAAAAATAAATTCTATAAAGTTTGTCGATTTTTTATTACTAATTATTTATTACTATATTGAAGTGACATACTTTTGCTGTTCCAAGTCCTAGCATCGGCATTGAATAATCATTATTTAAAGTTAATTGAGGGACAATCATTTTTTTCAACAATATTCTAGTTATTATGATCGAAATTAGGTTCGAAACAAGCTATATGTATTGAAGATTTATTCATTTACCACAAATGAAATTTATAGTTATAGGTTATGCCTGCAAGACACTATTTTCTACTGTAATAACCTTTCTTGAAAAATACACGATATATACTGCGTATAGGTATTATATTACAAATCAGCATCTTATCAAATATGAAAATTTTGATTATAACAGATAACGTTTATGACTTTAAGTATAACGAATAATTCCAGCTTTATGAACTGGTTATTATCAAGGCTTATAAATGCGAATGGTAAATCCAAATTATATTAAACGTAATGCGTATAAATACATGAGTAGCTAAGAAGCCACTGTTTTGATAAGATTGCTGTTAATTGTTTAATGTAACACAGGATTAATGATACAACCAATTTTCATTGAATAAATATACAGCGGAACTCATTTGAAAAAAGATATATTTTTATTTTTACTAAAATACATTCATTATGTGCAATATGCACCGATCGAGAAACTGTGTATATATATATAACTCTGTTGACTGTAATTTAGAAAGGTACAGTAAAAGGATAAAATTTGGCTTCTTTTGCTCTAAAACATGACGTATATTCATTTCATTAATAATTTTTTTTATATGAAAATTAAAACGCCAATCTAGCCAAATACTTACTCGTCAAAGGGAGCAACTCTTGCCCCAGTCTCAAGATCTTCGATCGTTTTAACTTCGTCAGCAGTTAGAGCAAAGTCAAAAATGTTAAAATTTTCCTTGATTCTCGATTTAGTTACCGATTTTGGAATAGGTGTAACACCTAACTGGATCTGAAATGTGGAAGAAAATGCTGATTTTACATTACTTCTGCTTTACTTGCGCGAATGTGAAATATGCTTACAAGAAATCTACATGCAATGTTGGCTGGCGTTTTTTTATATTTTTCGGCTATTTCTTGAATTTTTGGATCGTCCCATAAATTTTTAATACCATGTCGGTTTCCTGGTCTTCCAAGAGGAGAAAATCCTGTGACTGTTATGTCATGCTTTTTACAAAATTCTCTCAAAGTTTTATTATTTAAATTTAAAGTCACCTCAACCTGGAATTATTAATGTACTATTACTATTTATAAAGTATAAAAATTGAATGAAAAATTTGGTCAAAACCTTTAAAACATTTTTTCAATATTTATTTAGAAATAAAATCGAAATAAAACTGAATTTTGTAATAAAGCACCTGATTGTTAACAGGCTTAATTTTTGCAGCAGATAACAATCTAGTTAACTGTTCCGAATTGAAATTACTGACACCGATACTTTTGGCTAAACCCTGACGTTTGCATTCTTCCATTCCCCGCCATGTTTCAAGATAATCAGTATCGATAAATTCTATTTTCTTAGAAGCATCCCTAGGTGTAAGGATATTTCCTGACTGAAAAATTCAATAATGCACATATACTGCAATGACTTGAATATGACATTTATATATGTGTATCTATAAGACCAATAAGTACTTTAAAAGCCATGGGCCAATGAATTAGATATAAATCTACGTAGTCTAACCCCAAGTTAATCAGAGACTGTTTACATGCCGGTACAACTTCATTTTCATTGTGGCTGTTACACCATAACTTGAAAAAAAGCAACATATATATTATTTTACACAGAATTTCATTATTGATCAGACAATATAATATGAATCGATTAAAAATTTCATCTGAACTATTTGAAATTCTATTTACCTTTGTTGTTATAAAAAGTTCTTGTCTTTTAACCGTTCCATCATTTATTTTTTCTTTTATAGCTTTACCAATTTCTTTTTCGTTTTCATAAAAATATGCCGTATCTATGTGACGATAGCCAATCTCAATTGCATGTTTTACAGCATCTTCTACTTCTCCAGGTTTCGACTGTAAAATTTTCGTTTTTATTTAAATTTTTGTTAAGATACAATTAGATCGTATTTGGCAACGATTCCAATGTCATATTAAGTGATGCGACAGTAAGTGCAACTGATTAATCAAAATTACTAATTAAACATTAGAAATATATGTTATTCAACATACCAAATAGGTACCTAGCCCTAACATAGGCATTTTATTTCCATCGTTAAAAGTGACAGTCGGAACAGATAACATTACTACTGTTAAACAAACGTTTCTACTTCTGTGCCGTGCTACGATGTTTAGAACCTCTACGCATGAAGTTGCCAATGCCAAATTCTTTTATATAATTAGTCTTATAAGCAAAGCTAATTAAAAATATTCTTCAATATAAAAATAAATATATGCATTTATGTTATAGATAAATTCATTGTCATTACTTATATTTTGACATATTATATGCAAATTGAATCATATCGAAACAAAATTTTTTTGTTCTTTTAAAAAATATATTTCACAGTATAATGTAATTAATATAGCATACAAAAGTCGTGTTGCTTATTTTTAATTTATGTAATATATTTACTGTTTAACAAATAACGGCCAAAAAAATAACAATACTTTGCAGATGAAATTATAAAAAGCTTTTATTAAAAGAAAAAAAGAGCTTAAATAACAGATTCTATTAAAAATTGTAGATGGAATGATAATTTAGTAATTTACTTTTATATATACACTGAAATCAAACGACTATAATCCCCATGTTTAAAGTTTTCTTATACGTAAACCATAGATCATTAACCATTAATCTTTTTTCAAAATTCAATATTAAATGGATATTCTTTGCATTCTTTGTACCTGAAAATAATCATTTATGAATTTTATTAAAAATAAGATTGTATTGCAATGAACAAATCATATTAATACATACTCGATAGCGTTGCAAGTTCTGAAACCACAATCAAGTTGATCTATTGCTACTATTTCCTCTGGAGTCAATTTGAAATCAAAAACATTAATGTTTTCTCGAAGACGCTTTGGTGAGCTAGACTTTGGTATTGGAATGATACCGATGTCGATCTGTAATTCAGGATTTTATAAGCATAATTATAAAATATTGGCAAGTAATAAAAAAGTTATATTAATTTAAATAAAAATGTATTAGTTCGGCAAAAATATGGTAATAAGTTACAATTACTTACAGAGTAACGTAATGCAACTTGCGCGTTAGTTTTATTATATTTCTTTGCAATCTCTGTGATCACGGGAGATTGCAAATTGATATCAGGACCAGGCGGTTGAAATCCAGTACAGCGACCAGGAGCTCCGAACGGACTGTATCCAGTGACGGCAATGGCTTTACTAGCGCAGAACTCCCTAAGTTTTTTCTGGTTGAGATTGATGTGTACTTCGATCTGATTCATAACTGGTTTAATAGTGGCAGAGTCTAGTAACCTAGTGAGCTGTTGTGAATTGAAATTGCTCACGCCGATGCTACGGGTGAAACCGAGCTCGACGCACTTTTCCATCCCACGCCAAGTTTCAATATAATCCACATCATCCTGTTAGAAATTGTCCATATTAATTAATTTTTACAAGTTGCCTTGATGAAGATGTTTAAAAAATTATTTATTTTTAATGTTTACAAAAATAATGCCATAAAATCGAAAGAATACATTCCCTTGAATAATTATTGTATCTCTTATTGTTGTCGACTTTATTCAATGACATCGACATAAAATTTTTATATGTATTCACACATATTTCTGAAACAATTCAACCGAATTTTATGGGTGTGGACTTATTTGAAAGGGTATGCCAGCAAGTTATTTCCATTTTACTATTGGCCTGATTAATGATTACCTTCGCGAGCTATTGCGAATAATAAATTTGAAGTCAGCTTTTTTATTACAAAAATTACCCGTATTAAAATAAATAAAGACCCTACAGTGCTTCGATCGTTTCAAATATATTTATCTGACGCATGGGATAAAAATCGTTTGAAGAAATAAAAAAAAAATAAAACTTGATGATTCTTATGATTATCAATTTCAACTGACCTCATTCGTTACTTAAAATTATAAATACGATTATAAACATGTATTCATACAGGATATGATAATGGCCAATGCACAAGATATAAATCGATGTAGCCCAATCCTAATTTCTTTAACGATCTTTGGCACGCAGGTACCACAAGCTTTTCCTTGTGTTCGTCATTCCAGATCTGAAAATTATACGCTCAAATTTATTATATATAGTCTTTTGGCTTCATATTACTCAAATTCTACCTTCGTGACTATATAAAGATCTTCTCGCTTGACGACTCCTGCTGTGATTTTTTCTTGAAGAGCTTTTCCAATTTCAGCTTCATTGCCGTAAACCGATGCGCAATCAAAATGACGGTAACCTTCGTCAATAGCTATTTGAACAGCTTCATAGACTTCGCCTGGATCATTCTATTACAAATAAAGTTTTGAATATTTAATAATATAATTTCACTGCAACATACATATGATAATAATTCAAAATTAAATTTTAATGTCAAATAATAACAAATTTTACATTATACAAATTTTGATAATATATTGAATTTTTTTTCAATATTAAGTAACGGTAACAATTAATAGATAACAAGACTTTTTAATAAATACTCACTCCTCCTTGCCATGTTCCCAGACCTATAGCTGGTACTTTGTAACCATTGCTGAGAATTATTGTTTCTACTTGTGGAGGCATGATTACACAGTTAACTTATAACTGCGTTGTTTCTAAAAGCAACGGCAATATATAATGAATATGCGATAACAAATCTTCCATTTTTTGCAAAGTTGTTATCTCTAAAGATAGTTATCGGAATACGCCGCCTTTAGCGTGGAGTTTCGATAGTTTAATCGAAAAAAGGGCCCTCTGACGCTGTTTTCAGTGCGCTTCACCAGAGCTCTTTCCTATTCCACATTCCTACAATCCTACTATTTTTTCTGATTATAGGCGCGAACTTTGAATATTACCTGGCAACTTACGAGGATCACTGAGAATCCAAAGTTGTTTATAATTATAATTAATAAGTTGCTGTGATTGCTGTATTAATTTTATAGCGACTGTACATAAAGTGACTGTTGGAAACAATTGGAATTTTCAAGTGACCTAGACAATAGCAGTATATTTTTAGATAAGTTACAGTAATGAGTATGTTTACTTGTTTTATTAAATATTAAGTGGCTGACCTATTACATGTAGTCATGTGTTTATGACAATTAGTTTGTATTTAAAAAAAAAGTAGTTATTATAGTATGAAAATTTTCTGCCTCAAAATTTGCTGAAGTTGTCATGGAATAAAAGATTACACTTTATCTTTACTTAAAATGCCTGGCTCATCATTGTTGTGTATATTACTCTGTATTATAATACATTTAAAGATAATTAAAGATTTTCAAATTTATGCTGAATTTTTTAAACTATGTATCTAACGAAATGTGTACTTAGACCTAATGTGTCTTAAAAAAACATAAATGATTTTGTAATAGTATGTAATTTGCTTTTGTAGTAATTAAAGTACTGAAGAGGCTGGGAACGTATCCAGCGAAACGTATACGTGTACAAAATATGGTGACTTTATATGTGTGCGCGCGCGCGTGCATGTGTGTGTGTGTATATGTGAATATTAATTATATTATTATTTCTCATACATTTTTCGTTAAATGTATAGTTTAAAAATTCAGCATAAATCTCAAAATCCTTAATTATCTTTAATTGTATCACAATACAGAATAATGTACATAACAATGATGAGCCAGACTACATTTTGAGTAGAGAAAAGTATACATACTCTCTTATTCAATGACAACTTCAAAAAATATTTTATCCAGACAGTAAATTTTCATATTATAATAACTACGTAATTTTTAAAAACCAATCTAGTTGTCGTAAATACATGACTACATGTAATAGGTCAGCCACTTAATATTTAATAAAATAAGTAAACATAGTTATTAGTATGATTTATCTAAACATATACTGGTATTGTCTAGGTTACCTGAAAATTCCAATTGTTTTCAGCAGTCACTTATATACATTCACTATAAAATTAATACAACTTATTAATTATAATTATAAACAACTTTGAATTCTCAGCAATCCTCGTAAACTGACTAATAGCATCCAAAATTCGCACCTAATAATTAATTGAAAACAGTGGAAATATGGAATACGAAAGAGCTCTTTGAAGACAGTGTCAAGGGGCTTCTTTTTCGATTAAACTATCGAAACTCTAAACTGGCCGCTTTCCAAATAAAACTATGCAACCTCTCAAATGATTCGATCTTCCATATAAGCATACTTACGAAATAAGCTTATACTATAGATGATAAGATTTGTGACTTATCTTCAATATGTAACTTTAGTAATAATAATATAATGAAATTTTTATAACATATTACGGCCCCAGTGGCATGTGTATACACGCTTCCGTACGAAGCGGACGATTCAATGGAAACACTAGAAGTTTGGGGTTATAGTTACTAATCCCAACATGATGCCAACAGCTGATCAAATAAATAATGAACTAAACAAACTGCAGGATTACTGAACACCACCTCACCCACCTCGGCTTGCAGATAATGGCTGAGCTGACAAAAAAACTACAATTCGATGTATCTTTAATTAAATCCTCTTAATATGCTTCTAGTTTTAACTGTAGCTTTCTAATTATTTCAGAAAAAATTAAAAACTAATAGTCATTTTTTTGCTTCTTTGTAACCTTGATCACTTTGGAAATAGTCAATATTTTTTAAAAGTAATGCAGCAGAAATACTGCACTTTGGCTGATTTCAATTGCACCCTTCTTACTTTTCTGAAATAATTAATGTAAATGGAAAATAATGAACAATTTAATTTAACGGTTCGTTGATTTTACGCTGGGTCGACGCATATGCGCGGCCGATCAGCTGGAAAGCGGGAAGATGGGGTTCTTCAAATTTGCGATTAATCAGCTACTTACTAATCACTGTTTTACGATATCCTATCAATCAATAATTATTAAAAATAATATTAAAAAGATTTATGAATTCTTTAACGAAATTTTACAAAGATAAGCTTAATATCTAATATTACGACGGATCTAATATTAGGCCTACGTTTCAGAGACCCTGTCGACTAAGCAAATTGAAAGCTGACAAGCATGCTGCACAATACCACTTCAAAGAATTTTCTTTCTCTTCTACGAATCTGTCCATGACTAATTTTCTCTCTTTCTATCGTTAATAGCTCTCAAGTAAGATTGATTACAGTTGTTGTAGCTGGTACGTTTTTATTTTTATCTCGGTGTCGAATTAAATGATTAGATAATTATTGAAGCCAAAAAAAAATTATGATTGCCTCTATCAATTATTATAATAACTTTTGGATTAACCTCATGGGCATGTAAGAATAATTAATATTTCACGAAAACGGATAGGCAACCACAATCTCATATCTTGGCTGCTATGCTCGTGACACGTATATACAGAAAAGCTCGAGTTTTAATTGCACTCTACGAAAAAATCTATCTAAACCAATGAGGAATAATTACGAGCTACTGATTAATATTAATTACTCACATATATGAAGGTAGTTTATCATAATCTATACCATATGCATGGTTACGACAAAGGTAAATTAAAAGGATATAATTGTAAGAGCCATTAAACGTTGAAATGACAATTAATTATAAAATAATTAAAATTACGAGTATAGAAACTTTGAAAGTTAGCGATAAACGACATATGCTATAGTAAAAGCACCGAATTGCAACTTTCTAATAACTATCGCGCTGGAACGAATTCATCAAAAGATGGGATTTGATAAATTTTATGTATTCTACTGGTTTCCAGAACACATAACATTGTACATTGACATTTAAAAACCATTAAACAGTATTGTATCTTTTGATGCTACTGGATCAATAGTTCCAAAGATAAATAAACCAAGAGGAGACAGCAGTCACATATTTTTATCCGTAATTGTTACACACATAGGAAACATGATAATTCCTGTGATATAACTTCTATCTAAAAGGAATGATACTAATTTATTAACATATTGCTAAACTCGTGGATAAAGTCAGGCGCTAAATCTCTTAGATATATTGTTACAGATATGGGTGCAGCAATCCAAAACTCTGCGTGCCTTGCATTCAATACTGCAAACCATTAATCATCATACACATCTCTTTTCAAATGTGTACCCAATTGTAAACTGATGTAGCTCGTCTTTAACATATTGTAGCAAGATGGCCGTGCTTCACTAATGCAAGAAGTTGATTAAAAGAATTCTATTTATTTACAATGCACAGGCTTTGTTGAAACTGTCGAAGGATTTTATGAATTTTTTTGTAAGTCATTCATTTGATAGTCTTTATTAAGAAGCTTACAATAACATAATTACAAAAATAAAACTTTTTGTTTCGACGATGATACTGCTGCTAAAATTGATACTTAAAAAAAAAAGCAAACATTGAATTTTTTACTAATACGAGCATTTGTGAGTATGTTAAAGAAAAAAAAATAGTTTAATGCATCAATTCATCAACAGACTCCAACAAACGATAAAGCTTAACATTTATGTTTATAAAGAAGACAATTTTGAATTACAAGATAACAATTTTTGGTTAAAGGCTTTGAGGACCGTTTCAGTACTCTTCACTATCAATTTCTTTACTAAACGAATGAGTGACCATTTTGAAATTCCTTAGAAAGTAGCTACTTTAGCAGATCAGAAACGTACTTTGTAGCATTAAAAAAATTCACTTTTAGAGAACAATAAAACCTTCAGAGAAGATAAGCTTATTATTGAACACTGCAGGCAAATTGATAGTGGCAATAAGTTAGGTCGAGCCGCATTGTCCAATGTTCATCAAATTCAAATAAAAAAGAAAGTTAAAAATACTAAAAATAAAAAGCCCTTGTATGCATCAATTTTCGATAAGTTACCATACATTGGTAAAACTTTCAGAATCATTTTATCAAAACATATATTTTAAAGTTCAGTTGTTAGTAATAATAATAATAATAATTATTGCAAATATAAAATTGTTAACATTACAGGATATAGAATTTACGTAAATTTAACTTCAATTTAAGTCACATACAAGAATTGATTTCCTTAGTTTCATTAAAAAAAGTGGAAAATTTTAAGCATAAAAATAATCTTAAATTGTTTATTTTAAAAGATAATATTAATAAGTAGTTCAAAAATTTGTAAGAAAAAAGTATGACGCTTGTGACATAAATAATAATATCGATGTATTATCCATGTATCTCGCAGTATTTCAATAAGACGTCCATCAGTCGCTCAACCTTTGTACGTCACAAAGACGGTGAACTTTTACACGTTCATCAAGCACGAGAGTATCGGACGTCCTTGACCGAGTTGTTAACACATTTAGGGTGCGTACGCTAGGCTAGCGTGACGAGTTTTCAACGCGAAATAAAACAGGGAAGAATTTATGTAATTAATTTTTAAAGGAGTGACGATTAAAATTTTGACAATGCAAACAATATATAAAGTTATTGATAAACTTTTAAAATTACCTTTTACAATTTCTGACTCCACTACCATAATTTTGATATCTAAAAAGCATTATTATTTGCATAGTAATACATTTGGATAGAAATAACAGAAATATTTTCAAAGCGAGTTTGAACAAAACAGAGTATAGATGCTACTTTATTTATTAATAAGAAATATCATTTAGCAAATTGCTTGAATGCGAATGAAAACTTGAATAAATTAGTTTTCTTAAAATATTACATAGTTCAGAAAACCGATATTACTTTACTTATATTTGTCGCAAATGAAAAACTCCAAATTCTTAAATAAAATGAACAGAAGCTTTTTGACAATTTTTTGATTGACTTGCATTAAAAATAAGGATTTTTAATTGTGAATAATGAAAAGTCAGTTTGAAAGTATAACTTAATCTTGTCAGTCAAGGGTCTGTACACGAGTGTAACAATGTTGAACGTACTAACCAACTACCGAATAATCGATCGTTTCTTGAGCGTCAGTGCAGTGCATCGACACTCTACTGCCCTGCTTTTCTTCACTTGTCAGATTCAGGTGATTGAAAAACTGTCTACTCTGCAGTAGCAAGGCATGCTTGTACTTACTGATTGATTAGTGCAGAACGTGCGATTGGCATGTTATCCTTGTGGAGGCTTAGAAAATTTTAGTTATACCGAAAGAGCCTAGAAACTGACAAAAAATATTTTTAATCGATGCAACAATAATGTAAAATCTGAAACGCTAATAGGTGCACAGACGTCAATGTATTTTAGTTATGATAATAACTTAGGAACATAAAAAATAAATAGTTTGAGTTCGCTGCATAAGAAAGAGATTATTGCTGAGATCTTGGAATGCTATTGAAAATATTAATGTTAAGGAATGTATTACAACAATCTCAACTTCCTGCTCGGTTATAGTTACTGCTAACTTTGACCAGACTTTCTTACTGAGTTGACGTTAATCGGGGTATAGATGACGAAGTTGACTAGAAACGCACTAATTGCACGAAGTAGAAATGGACTTTATTGACTAGAATCAGAACTTCAAGTTACTGTCAAAGCTTGATTCTCAAGGTCGTTCTTCAAAAATTAAATAACGTGAATCATGATAGACCTACTCTATTTGACCGAGCGCTTAAATGACTAGTTAGATGTTGAGGCTATGTAGGCTTAACATGTGATAAACTGTAGTTGTGTTTGACAATTATCGAAAGAGTATTTTCCGATGTCGTCTAAAAAATACGACGACACGATATCTCAATTCTAGCTAAGAAGCGATAGAAAGATGCAGACAGAAAGCGTAAAGAGGCGCTCTGAATGATCTATATCTAAGTGAAAGACAAATTTATAGTGAAACGCGAGTGACAGGAGGCGCGGCACGCTCGATATCGTGACAACGGTAGTTAATAATAGCAAGCCCATGTGTCGTGCGTCGGCTATCATCGCGGCATTATCTCGCCTAGCGATGTGCAACAGATGAGCGCACTCGCGCGAATTTTCGATCAACCAAATGGCTATAATATGTATATGGAAGAGAAGGGAACGGGTGTTAACGGTCTGTGGCGATGGAGTTGCGCGCGCGGGCTACGGAACTCTCGATACGGCGTCGCAGTCAGCCAGTCAGTCTGGCCGACGAGCGCCGCCGCCCAGGTGCTTCGCTTCTCCAGCCGTCTGAAAAGTACGCCGTTTATCGTTGTCGCGAACGGATCCTCGGTGGGTTCACCTCGGTTTCGTTTGAGTGCTACTGGTGCCGCTGTAATCTAACGTGCACCTCGTTCGATTTAAGTCCAAGTTGACAACCAGTTACGATCAGCAACAGGTGAAAGAGCTGTCTTCTCTTTTAAGTGTCGTGTTTTTTCTATTTTTAAACGCTCACTTTTCCACGGATGTCGGTGTGCGTTCGTAACAAACGCGCTACTATCTCGTATCACAAAGCAGACATTGTTACGTAATTTTGATCGTCAAATTAAACGTTACGGTATGAACAAAGCGAGGTCATGAGAGTTGTCAATCTTTTGACGAAATGCGAGACAACGCACGTATCCTATATTCATTTGTATAGACATCAGAAGTAGCATAGGGACAAGCTTTTTACATCGCAAGGGACGTTCAACGAGGCATTCTGCATCTCGTGTGTGACCATGTGCTCGAGATAAATGAGAAAGGGCGCTGAATGCATAGTGAATGAGAGAGCGCGCGCGTGCGAGAGAGAGAGAGAGAGAGAGAGAGAGAGAGAGAGAAAGAGAGAGAGAGAGCGTCGTCCCGTAAAAGAATTGCGCAACCGAAAGTGTAAACACGCGCGGCAAGCCTATTTAAATTCAGTAGCTCACGTCATCCGAGGCTGCTGTAAAATAACCACACGTCCCCACGAGATCGTCGCCGTCGTGTAAATAGCGTCCTGCGCGTGAAAAATTAACTAGAGCACACGCGTATCGCATGGTTCTCGGAGAGAGCAGAAGGGATGCCGAAGAGCTTTCGTGCCTGTCCGACTGAGTGGAGCTAGCGCGAGAGCAGGCGGCCCCCGGATCGATAGAGGACCTGCGCTCTGCCCGCGCTGCCCGAGATTCCTATCCACGCAGTTTCCGGAGCTTGCACACGAACACACGCTCTCTCGTGAACTGCTTTCGGCCTCCACACATATCTCTATTGGCGCTCGTCGATCTATAGTTCACGTTCGTTTCCATTTTGCAAGTTTCGAGCTATTTCTAGATCGCGCTTCTATGGATTATTTTTTCCAGTCGTAATCGCGACTACGTCTCTGTGTGCCCGTGCGTGTGTTTGATTTTTGGTGGCGGGTGTGCTATATACCTGCGCCACTATCTCACTCGCTGCTGTGTGTTGACGGAAGGAAAACAACGCGTGTGAGAGGAGGCTATTCAGCTCACTTCTCGTTACAAGTGCTCTCGAGGTACATAGTCGTCCTCGTTTCTAATACTATATGTTGTAAGCTTAACAATATTTTTTGTTTGACAAATTGTGTTTCGAGCAAACGATGAAATTTCATCGCTCACTCGAGCGATCAGTGTATCGATGAATATGGCTTATGCGACTGTTGCCGGGTGCTTTCACAAATCTAATATACTAAGAGCGACGAACTCGCGCACTCGATAATTAATTAATGTGTACTACTCGGGGATTAACGCGATAAAAAACATTGGAAGTTGGCCTTCGCAGCGACTCATACGTAATGACATCGACGAATCTCAATCGTCGTAATCCTCGTTCACATTGCGCGTGTATAATATGCGTATGTGCTAAAACTGTTAATTCGTTGTGCAGCTGTATTAGTAGTCTGACAAGTAAGTGTCTAGTTTCTAACGTAAAAGAAAGCTCGTGGGCAATAGACACTCGGAGTAGCGAGCGCACGTGATAAGAGGCATCGGTAATCTCTATTTTTAGGCGCGAATTATACGTGGAGACGCGCGGCGAGATCGCACGCGAGCTTTCCCTCCGGGCGAGCGCTGCTTCGCATTGCGCATCCGCTCGGTTTTTCTTATCGCTGTCCGCGACGCGACGACGCGCCAGTTAAAGGGGGGAACGCGCGCTCGCGGATGAGATTTACGGTGAGAAGTGTGCTGCTGAGCCGAGCCTTTTCTTCGATTACAAAGCGGATCGTTGACTATGTACGAGCGCGCACAAACGCAGCAAACGTGCGAACGCTGTAGCGTGCTACGAAAAAAGTATAATGCGCGGGCTGCAGAGTCATTGCGAGTTTTCACGCACCGTGCGCGTGAGCTTCGCACTTTGAATATTTACCCGTGCGAACGAGGATGAGGCGCGAGAGGCGCTAATTATATTTGGTTTTTTGCTCTACCTACTTTAAACGTATATACCGTTACGTTCGTTACTTTTCATTATATCCGCGGCACTTACGCTGATGAGCTATCTTTCTTAACAATGTTCGCAAATCATCGACTTCAACGCTTTATGATTGCGATTCGTATAGGCTGTCTACGATATCGGGTATGTATGTATAATAAAGCAATGATGATTCTACTAATCGAGAGAATAACACTCAAAAGGAGATAACAATAGCAATTGTCATTACCTTGCGATTAAATTACTTCTGTTAAATGCCTGATAAATATTATTGCAAGCTTCGCCTATTCAACAGACTCTTGCCATATATAAGCTATTGCATATAATATCGGTTACATCACATGCGTAAAAAATAACGTTCCACGCGTCTCGAGCCACAATATATTTTTAACAAGAAAGTTTTTGTTTATTGACTAGATCTGAAAAAACCGTCGTACATTCTCGGCGCCATATGAAACTTAGTCACGCAGAACTGAGTATCGACCTTGAAATATTTTAACCGGAATAAATGTACATATTTTGGTACAATAGTACCCTTGTTATAAAATATATTTGTCCTGCGTTGAAAGGAAATTTTATGGAAATATTTTGTTCTTTCGTTACAACAATAAATTTCTTTTTTCACGAGAAAATTAGCTCTAGAATGATTTCTCTTGATCTATCTTAATACAAATGTTTAGATTGTTTAGATTAACTCATTGGCAAAGTGTAGTTTACTCAGTGAAATACAAATGTCAATTAATCAAATAATTATATCAAGCAATTTCTTCAATCGTTTCAGAAGTTCGTTGGCCGATAATGGAGTCAAAAGACGAAAAGAATCTGGCAAATGACGTGGCAAACCTAAAGGTTAACGATGGCGAACAACGACCAGGTAGCACGAGTCCTGCAAACAAGGAGGCTGGAGGTGTGGGTACTGGTTCATTTATCGCTACTTTCAAGGCCTTCTCCAAATTCGGTGATACCAAAAGCGATGGCAAACATATTACCCTCAGTCAAAGTGATAAATGGATGAAGCAAGCAAAGGTTATCGACGGCAAGAAGATCACGACAACCGACACCGGCATTTTCTTCAAAAAACAAAAGTACGTTAGATTTTTTTATCTCGAAGCGATCATTTCACCATTTTCAATTGCACCGAATTCAAATTGCATTGAGAAAAATATTATTCCAAGTTACATTATCAAACTAAACTAAAGAATGTAGTTGAATTTGTGAAATATTTCGATAATCCACGTAGTTCATCTGTTTACTGAACTCGTTTTGCAAACTATCAAAACCTGATTCTCATATCGCAGAGCAATGAAGCTTAGCATCGAACAATACAAAGCTTTCCTTGAAGATCTGGCCAAGAACAAAAAAATGGAACTTGCCGATATTAAATCTAAAATGGCAAACTGTGGACCACCTGGAATTACAGGACCATCTGTGGTACGTTTATATATTCAATGTAGAGAAACTAAAAATTGAGACTGATTTCGCGAATAGATAACAGCTTATATTTATAAGTATTGAAATAAATTCAATTTACAATTATAAACGTTTTATAATTTTTAAATGTCGATACGAACTGATTAAAAAAATCCAAATCCAATACGATAACTTAATTCAGTTGATCTATTTTTATTATATAATAGATGTTCGATAGTGATAATCCGGTTGTTGCAGTCAAGTGTGACTTATAGAACTATGGCTCTGCTCTTGTTTATTGTAACGAAGTTGTGTATTGTGATGAAATCTTCGTTCGAAACAACGTAAACTTATCATGCCTTCCATGCGGGTGGACTAGGTTTAATTTTCGGTATATCAATAGTCTCCTCCAAAAATTGTATGTGCTAAAATAACGAGCTCCGTAGCTTTCACGTTGTCAAAATATGAAGGAATGTATCAAAAAACAGAAACAAATTAATATTAATAACACGAAAAGTTGCAACCGCAATAGTTTAAACAAAAAACATTTATCTATAGATTAAAGGATAAGAAATCGTATTATTTGACAGGGTGGAAAAGCAGCGTCAGCAGTGGAAAGGCTAACGGACGTGTCGAAGTACACGGGATCACACAAACAACGCTTCGACGAAACGGGCAAAGGTCGCGGAATCGCCGGCAGAAAAGACGTGCCAGATGCATCAGGATATGTGCAAGGCTACCAGAATAAAGACACCTATAAAGCCCAGTAAGAATTAGGCCTGATTTTCATCAATGATAACTCAAAAATTTTAACAAGCAATCACTCGCTGCCCGAACCGCCCCATCACTTTCGCCTAAGTCGCGGGATAATTAAAGGGACCGCGAGTGTGAAATTGACGGAAATGTGCGGGCGAGTAAAAAAGTGCACTCAACAAAGTTTGTTTACTAAATAGCAATGATTTTTCTGTTTCAACTCGATCGCTTATAGAGCTTATACGCGCAAATCGACAAGTCGATAAGTGTTAGGCAGTATTGAAATAGGTGTTCGGTTGGATGCAGATACACGTATTTTTTCTTTTAATATAAATTTCAGCGCAATATATGCGCATTTTAGCTATAATTTTAGCTATAATAAAGTTGGTCTTAAGCTGTGAATGTATAGGTGTAAATGAGTGTGACAGGTAACCGAGAAGAAGATGGAATTTTAGAGAAATGGCGATGTTGTTACATATTTATTTTCTCACTGGATTCCGATATTTTATATAGTTTATATGATTTGTTGAAATGTCTTGTGAATTGAAGGAGATCATAATAAACAAGCAGTCTTCATCAGAATATTTGTATATTTCAAGGCTATTATCTTTAAAGAAATTAATATGTGTAATTTTTTTATTTTCGATCTCAAATCGGATCATCATTTGATCTTAATACATTTTTTTAACTAAAATGTCTCAGATGAACTTATACGTATCATAGATGTAAAATAATTTTCTTTAACAAACAAAACTAAAAAAAAACTTTTTTTATTTTATAGTAATGTAATTCATATTTTTATAAATTTGAAGCTATAAAAATTTATATTTTTATATTTATTATACTTTATTCATTTACATATCAGCACCATAATATTATGTATATACAAGCAATATATTGTTTAAATTTGCATCAATGACTAAGTAAAATTAAACTCTCTTTGATTTCGTCTTCACATTCTCGGTAAAAACGTCATTCAAATTACAATTAGCTTGACCTCATCTTGTAATTTTGTGTACTTTTACAATGTATATTGTATTTCTGACTTTGTAAATCAAAACTACGTTTTACCTGATATATATTATAAAATTTGAATGAAAATAAAAATATCTCATTGAACGTACTAATTTATTATCTATTTAGAATTTACGTTATTAATACAAGGATGAATAAAATTAAGTTATCGTATAGGTATGTATTTCATAGTTATTTATTTTATTTTCCGACGGCGTGTTGGTACAACTTAACATTTTGTATTCGGCAAGATAACATGCACATTCGGTTGAATTATATATATATATATATAAATATTTTTATACATATATTTAAATGCAATTAAAATTCTCTTGGATAACCCGATAATGATGGAAGACAAGTTAACTCTGGTGCCTAAAAAAAATATACTTTTTATGCCTTCTAAATGAATCATGTTTTAATAAAATTCATATTACTGTCGCACGCACCACATTTTGAAATGGTAAATCCGAAAACTAAAATGCCTTTTTTAATATGAAAAAATACTTTTGAAGTACTCATCATTATATCAAATTCAATAAATATATAAAATACAAATAATCTTTTCACAATTGAACAAATTTTGTATACATTTATAAATAATTATCATTTAATAAACGAGACTTTGTTTATAAATTGTCTAAATCTCAGTCGAACTGTGTACACGGCCCAAGACTCGTTCAAATATTTATGACCGCTTAAAATTTTCATTACATAATTTTTCTACCAAATTTTTAATAACAAAAAATATAATAAATGAGCTGCTCAAAACGAATCGTTTTTGAAATAATACTTAGGAAAGCGAAATAAAGCTTTTTCTAGGAAATATTTCAAGTTAATGCACTTGTATCGTAGGTAATACTTTTCTTTTAGAATATCTTGGTCATGATATTAAATAATTTAGATAAAACAACAGTATAGTAATTAATCGCCGTCATTTAGAGAATATCCGTAACGTAATGCACGAAAATTAAAATTATATTAAAATTGCAGATTACATAAAAAAAGCTTACATTTCAGATTTGCGCAGGAAGCACATTTCTTTCATTAAACGTTTCTCAAAATAACAAACTATATACTCAGAAATGTTTTTGTTCAAAGTTTCAAGCGGATCTTTATGAACAATTTCACAAAATATAAAAGGTGTAATGTCGAAGCCAAAAAACATGAAATACATTTTTTGGTAAATTTCAAATTTAAAAATTTGCTCTTGTACCTTCTTTATTTCATTCGTTGAAGGAACTGAAAAATGTCTTATTAAAAGTTGAACGTAATAAAAATTTGTAATAAAAGATTCTACCGTCTTGAACAAATAATAAATAGATAAGCGATTCGACACCATACTCTTAATATTCTCCCGATTCATTATGATAAAATAATAAATCGCTCATAATTCAGTCAATGTGTCGATAGATGCGCGTATTATTGTCTTGGAACTGCAACTGCCGAATGCAGGCTTACTACTGCCGATGCCTGTACCTTCGATGCTTGAAATAATTTCATCGCGAAGCGCCACGAGAACGCGACGATCCTGTCGATTTTGAGGAGGCGCTACTTGTAAACCTTGCTCGATGTCATCAAGCGCCTCGTCCAGTCGACTGGAATCGAGCTTTGCCTTGGCACGCGCGTAATACGCTTCATACGAATGCGGCCTGATTTTCAGAGCTTCATCCGCAAGCTCAATCGCCTCTTCGCATTCCTGAAAAAAATCAGAAAGTTAACTCGGCTTTTCAACCAAATGGCAAGGAAGAAAGTAAGAAAAGAGGTTTAAAAAGATTCACCTCCATCTTGCGCTTGCATCTGCTGAGATTCAAGAGGAAATTGAGCTTGAGCTGAGTGAAGGACTGCATGTGCGCCATCATGTGATTCTGATCCTCGTGCTCAGGAATTTGACTGAGCTCGGGCGTGGTGGGGAATTTCCTGAGCGCGTACGAGTATCTGTAAGATGCCTCCTTGAGACGAGCCTTCCTGTAAAGCACGTTGCCATCCTCGAGCAACTTGTTCAGCAAAATTAGAAGAATGTCTGGCTTGCCAGCAGCCATGGCCCAAGTGGCGGGCCCGAGTTTCGCTCCCCTGCGCAGAAAGCACTGCACCACCGGAATGTTGCGACAGCCGATCGCCCGGTCCAACGGACGCATGCCGTGCAGATCGACGTGCTCAATCGCCGCGCCTCGCTCTAGCAGCAATTGCACCAGTTTTGGGTTACCCTGAAAATAGAATTGACATTGATCGTCCTGTCCTGTCCAATAGAGAAGTAATAAGTTAGCATCGATCGCGATAGTCGACGTACGTACCTGAAACGCGGCTAAATCCAGAGGCGTTCGTCCAGTCTTATCGCAAGTATTAACGTCGGCAGCCCGGTCAATGAGACACTGTGCCGCGTTGAGTCGGCCACGGACACAAGCCCAGGCAAGTGCTGTCATGCCTTCCTTGTCTGTATCTTCTAGAGCGGCTTCCTTGTCGAGTAATAAATCCACCAGATTCGTATGGCCTTCGGAAGCGGCGAGTGACAAAGCTGATCGTCCGACTGGGTCTTTCTGTTTGAGTAGATGCATCGTTGTTTCGAGATCTTCTTCGGTACTCATCGTCAATGATCCTATTAGGTGAATAGTAAATGAAGATCAACGGGCACTTGGATGAGCGTACGGAAAATTAGAATTATTAAAAAAGCAAAATGACAATATATACCTTGGAGGAGTCTTTCGGCGGTACCCCAGTGTCCTTCTCTGGCGGCGAGCATGAGCGCCGAGAATCCCTTAGCGTTGTGAACAGCAGGATTCGCACCTCTGGCAAGCAAAGCGGAAACTGTGGCAGTGGAGCCGTTCGCCGCAGCGATCGTCAATGCGGTCTCGCCCATCAAAGTATCCGGTTTGTCAACGACAACTTCGGACATGTCCAGCAAGTACTCCACAACGGATTCGTATCCCTGCGCTGCCGCGGCTACCACTGCTTGCTGTGCTGCCTCTTCTCTACTGACGTCGCTTGCCAGCGAGGACGCACTCGTCGCTTCATCTCCGGTTGCCGCTGCCGTCCAGTCGCAGGCTAGCAAGTAGCCGACCACTGACAGATGTCCGTGACGCGCAGCGTGAACTAGTGCGCATTGCCCCGCCATGTCTACGTGTCCCAAGGATGCCCCGGCAGCAGCCAACCTACCATCGCAGAGGTCAATGGTTAATTGCCACCTATAATGGTTAATCCCCACTCGAGCTTACTCATCCATGGGTATTCGTCGCTTACCTTCGCACCACGTCACAGTGGCCTCGAGCAGCAGCCAAAGTCAGAGCAGTGCAACCTTGACTATTCGTCAGCTCGACATCGGCTCCGAATTCGAGCAGAAGCGAGACCATTTCTGCGGAACCTTCATGAGCGTACATACACAGCGCTGGGGCACTTCCAAGATACTCGGTGATGAAATTCGGTGATGCTCCGGATAAAAGCAGCAGTCGGGAGACTTTGACATTTGGACTGTATACGTTGCGCAGTGTGCAAAGTGCCGAAGACACGCACTCCGACGACGATGCTAACCATGCGGCCTGCAAGTAAGAATCGCGCTTTTAAACTCGTTGTCGCGTCATAAGTTTTTCCAGATCTTTCAAGTTGCGAACCTGCAAGTCGCGCGATGGCCAGGCAGTTGTTGCACCTCGATAGACATGAGCTTTCAGAATATGATGTCCAAGCTCAAGAGCTTTTTCCCCGTCCAGCGGAGCTTGCAAACGGGACAGGCGAAACGCTATCGCAGCGTGGCCGAGGCGCAGATCACAGAGAAACTTGGTCGATTCGCCTTCGTCTCTCCTCATCAACCATTCCCTGAACGATGGATGAAAGAACATGTACGTGTTGTCCAGCCGCTTCACCAGAAAGCCGGAGAGCATCTGTAAGTTACATTTGAACTTGATATTAGCCATAACGACATTAACACGATAAAATAGTCAAGTAGCTTAAACGTGTGACCGAGGTGCTTCGTAACTTACAGCCAGTCCTTTTTAGCAGCAAAACAATTCAAAAAACATTGACATTTGAAAAGTCTTGTTTGACGACGTCATCCTGAGTTTTACATACCTTGAATCTCTGTAAGAAATCATCCCAAGAAACGACGATGCCGTTATTCAGTGAATTCGCGGAATAGAATATTTCTGGCAAAGTTAATGGATAGAGCGCTGCAAGACATACTCCGAGTATTGGTTGAACTTTATCGAAGGATGTTGCCGTTGGAAACCTCAGATTAAAATGCAGTAAATAGATTTGCGCAAGAGATACGGGCAAGACCTGTAAAACATAATCGATCATATTTTGATGATTGCGGATGACCCATTGGCAATCCACAGATCCAACAATGGACAAGATACGAACCTTGTAACTGGCAGATTTGGCAACTAAATGTCCACTTTCGAGTAGATCGAGCGTGAGTTTGGCAAAGAGAAAGCTGCCGTTGGCGAGGGACAAAAGATGCGTAGCGAATCTAGTCTGGTTTGCAGAGCCCAACGTCTCGGCTTTACCATTGACCACCGCCGTGACGTTTGCTTGAATCACAGGGCTCTGAGTCAGCCTATAGCCAATGTAGTCAGCTAGGTCTTTGGTGACATTGACGCCAGCTGCCTCGTTGGCGTTCTTGTCGAGGCATATCCTCGTATAGGGCAACTGTTTGGTGCACTCGTACAGCTGGCTACGTACCGTCACCACGAGCTTCAACCAACTAGGGAAACTTGGCGCGTGTCGAGTGAGGAAGGAGGCTATCGTGTCGCCTCGATCGGGTCTATGGTATTCAGCTTCGCATACAGCGTCGATCAATATTACCTATTGCGAACATAGTTATGAGAGTCACAACTTAAATGGGCGTGTGAGGTTGACGGTGAAAATAACGCACCATGTTGGTCTCGGGCAGTCGTCCAGCTTTACGAAGACTAAATAGAGGCTCAATAATACCTCGGTGAAGGGCAAGATCGGGATCGACGGTACATTCTTTTTCCGACAGAGATCCTTGCATGTGGGGCTCGGAGAGTAAGTATTCGCGGTATGAGGAGAGCTGAGGTGCTTGACATAGTTGGGCTGCTAGGGAATGGATGAGATCGGGAACAAGACACGTGCTGTTGTTGTCGGCTTGGCAAAAGTGATATGCAACTACGTGCGACGCTAGTTCGCGAATCTGCAATTCCGATTAGAGCTTTTATTGTATTGTGGCTATGTGATAGTTGTTATTATTATTTTGTGAATTTTATTATGTTGTGAAATCAGTTAAAAATTGAAATCATAACAAACCTTGTCATTAGACTGCTGCACGTTAATATGGGACGAGCTGAAAGTCAATGAACTCTCTGGTCGTTCTTCATCGGCGTCGTGTTGAGAAGGCCGCTTGCGACCGAAGCAGCTATGGTCGACAAGCTGAAGTACAAGAGCAGTTTTACCTGTGCCTGGCGAACCAGAAATCAACGCGCCTGGACTTGAACCTTCGATCAGGTTTTTCAATTCTTGCAGCAACCAATGGCGTCCGGTAAACAGAGGATCGCTTTCGAGCAATGGCACCTCGAAGAACAGCGGCTTCAACGTTAGCTGTATGTGCTGCTGCATCAACCGAACTATATTTACAAGCAAGAGTTTTATTAATTCAAATAATTACAGTTTTTTTCATATAGGTCAGTAACTACAACTACAGTGATGTTCGATCATGATACAATGAGCTTTAAATTACTGCTGACCACTGATAAGGAATAGTGGTATTGTCTCGCTATCGACTCTCCTAAACTAAACTACTCTGTAATGACAATGAAAGTGTTAGCAATTTTAAGGCGCTATTGTGTAAAGAAAATAGGTCATTCTGTACAAGTTCGACAAATCCACTGGAGCTTAAAATATTTTTTGAAAGAAAGAACGTGACATTTATCTACTTTAATTATCCAAGATTTATAAATTACACATAATGACTGTGAAATTTGCCAATATGCATTTGACTTTCGAATACATACTCAAACGAAATCGTTCACGTTGCATCAACAAATTTATCTGAAGGATGCATAAGACGATGTGACGTGACAAATGATTATAAGCACCTCTGCGATGGCAATTTGGATATACGGTCAGCTTTCGCGTGAGACCAGCGCAGCGCCCGGTGAAATTTGCGGGATAATTTATCGATGAAATCTTTTATAGAGAGTAATTGAGAGAGCAGGGTAAACAAGATAAAGGGGGCCTAATTAAGAATTGATTCATGATTTAATTGAGGTAAATATCCGTCACACAATGGTTCAGCAATTCAATGGCTGCGTGTAATTTAAAGATTGGTATTGATAATTGAAAAATGAGGTAAGAGACACAATGATTTGTCGGAAATGGCGCATCGCGTAAGACATTGGCGATTGATTGAATGCAATCGGCAATGGAATTCGGGAATGGGTGCGATGCCAATTTAAATGTTTATGAAAATATTTATGAATCGGTGGAATAGAAGAAACCAGCGTAAGTATATGGATTCTTAATTGTTTGTTCATCACTCACTTTTCGAGTCTGCAAGAGATCCTTTGTAATTGGAGGTCCTGGCGGATCGCCTGAGGCAGGTGCGACGACTCTTGAAAGCGTCGTCAATTTGGCCCGGTTGCGAGGTTGTGACGGAATGTCTCCTGGAGGTCATGGGACTCGAACTGCCATTCGACAGTCCCGATACCGAGACCGACATTGACATCGACATGGACGTAGAGGCCGAAGTCGAGATGGACGCCAAGCTGCCAGCACTGTCGCAGTCCCTCGATTTTTTTCCTTTACCTTTGCCTGCAATTCACCAATTCAGCGGGTCTTCGGCACCTCGAACGAAATATAATGGTGCGACAGAAACGATACCTTTGGACTTGAGCGGACTGCGGATCGCAGCAGCTGCGATCTCAGCCTCGCTGGAAGTGCCGGTAAGGGTAGACACTGGGCTGGTATTACTCGATGCGTGAGTCCTGGCCTCGAGGCTAGCCAAACTGCAGACAGACGCGGCTGTTGCATCTTGCTGAGGCTGTGTAGAGGCTGGTCTTGAGGCAATCGGCAAATCGTTGATCACGTTACCCGAAGATGAGGCACGTTGCTGGCCGAGCAACAGACCCAAACGCATGTACAGATCGGAGCTACCGGACTTACGACCGCTGCTCTTCGCGGGCAACGCACCTTCGGTTAGCGTTTTCACGGGGACACCCTCGTCGTCTGTAAAATTTATAAATAATCGCACAGTCATTTACACGCTTACATTTACAAGTTTCGGATTATAAAGCAAATCATTTTTTATTTGTCGGTAGAAAAAATCGAAAACTGCATCAATCTATGAAACACTTTCAGACACTCTCTTGTGTTATTTCACACCAAACAGTACAACAATCTTTTTTCATTATTCGGCAAAGATTAAGAACACATAAAATTTATTAGCAAACCCTGAGCATTAGTTATGTAAATATTAATTTCTCAGCATCTCGTGAAAATTTTTAATCGCAGCACAAAACATTACGACAAGATTCTAATATCTTCCTTTTTTCAGTCATTATCTTCCATTTAAGAAAGCCTTATGAAATCCAAGCAAAATTGCTAAACTAATTGTCTCATTGGTGAAGGTTCGTAAAAATATACAACTAGTGTATAAATTAGTCAAAAAGAAAAATAAAAAAAGGCAAACACTGTTTTCTCAAAAAAGCTTAATACTTATTTGAGAGATCCAATCTCTACGAATAAATCCGGGCAAGCATCGATGAACCAAGCCGATCAGCACTGAAAGCGTTGTTTAATATTCGTAAAGTGAAGTACGTTACGAGAATTGAGTGCTGATTTGACAGAAGAATTGGGATAAGCAAGAAAACAAACAAGAAAAAAATTTTCAATGCTAAGGACGTTCTGCGTAAATAACAACGACAACAATTCTAGCAAAACAGTTCTCGGTAAAACTTGTTCCTGCCTGGCAGTTTATTGGACGAATCGATGAGTTGATTGAGACCGTCGTTGGCCGATCCCTGGCTATTGCTCCAGAGCGATCGGATCTTGCCAAGTACAGCGCCCGGCCACTGTGACTTTCCTTCCCAGGAAGTGGTCATCCAAGCTGCGCGTACACACGCGAATGCAAGCAAACAGGTTCTCTCTTTACACTTTGTATTTACAGTTTTTCCAAGCTTTTCCTTAACTATTGCCTAAACATTCGACTTTGGTATTGCATTGAAGAACTTGTATTGGAGATTCGTGGGTAATTACTCAAAGCAACTTTGTGTTTCGCTGCATTACTCAAGTTCATTGTACCCTACTTTCTATGTAGAATTACAATGAAAAGCTCACCCGATATTGCCGAGGGATTGTCCGACGTATTTTGTTCTGGCGCTTGTGTCTCGCGCTTTGACTGTCTCGACGCAAAGGGACTCCTCAAAGCTTTGGCATTTAAGAAGAACCTCCGACGCTGCGTGGGTGGTGTTGAACAACCTGAAGCATTGATAGGTGCCGCTAAACATTCATCGATAAAATATTAGATCTCGTGCTGTATTCCTTATACTTACTTTTGACCATTGCCTGAGCTTTCTGGCGTGAAAGTGCGGATTCAGGCAGTATAGGTGGTTTTCCTTTTGGACATTTGGCGACATCGTTCGATTCCTAAAAGAAAAATTAGACTCGTGGCTGGCAACGGTATGATGTCAAGTAGAAACGAAGAAACGAAAAGCGAATCTTATGTACCTGCGACTTTTGTACGACTGTCCTACTGCCGTTGAACTTGAGTCTTGGTCTGGGGCTACCGCAAAGCGAGTTGACGGTGGACGAGCTCTCGAGCCAGTCGAGGCACTGGCTGGCATTGAAGTAGTGGCCGTCACGGAAATTCGGCCGGCAGTCGGGCGCGTCGTCGTCCTCGTCGAACTCGTTGTCGAGGTGGCGACGGGCCTCCTGAGCGCAGAGCGGACATGCCTCGCTGCGAAACAAGCACGAGTAGCATCTCTCGTGGCCGCACGAGTCTATCAGTCTGCGCTTTTTGCCCTTATCAAATGGCATCTCGCACGATGGACACGATGAACCACCGTTTATTGCACCTGTTGATTCCACTAGCGCGCGTATATGTGCCAAATCTATAACCATAACAGCATTTCCCAAAGTCAAATCATTTCATATCATAATTAAACTTTGCGTTATCCGCTTCATTGTATTTAATTATTTTCTCTATTTCATTTATTTCATTGAAAATCGATCTTTTTACATTTCAGTGAATCACGTAAAGAATGTTCAAAATTTGAAAGCTATGGCTAATTCTGTCATCAAATATATCAAAGATTTTCAGTTGAAATTAAAAAATTTTTTTTTAAATTACGTTTCATGAAGTGTCTTAGAACAACATTCAACATCAAAAGCAATTGAAAAATTAATATCTAAATGAACACAAAAGAATCAAAATTACTGAAATCGCTCCGTAGCAGAAGATATACGTGATATATGTTGTGTAGGTCGCGATGCCTGAGATGCATACGCGAGCGATTTCGCTTATTAATTGGAAATTCCTTCAATTCCAAGTCTAATCATTTTGTAGTAAAAGCTAAAAGACACAAACGACATCGTTGTGTCGAAAAATATTGATTATGTTGAAAAATCAAGAGGTGTCGATATGAATGATACTGCAGTGACAAAATCTACAATGAGGAGAAAACGAAAGAGAAAACGCTCGGTGTGCTAGACGTGCTAAAATAAGTACAGAGCTATGTATATATGTATATATTTGTGGACCGTGTAGCGTAGCACTTAAAGCGAGAGCTAGCAGCGCCGCGTGTGGACGCGGCGAGAAACACAAGAAGCCAAAGCAAGAGCGACAAAGACAGCTGCTAGGGCTTGGCGCATTGGATAAACAAGGACAGTTTACAGCAGCGCTCGCAGAGAAGCCGGCAGCAGCCATCAAGCGTTGGCTGCGTTTGTGCGATCGCCACAGTCGTTTCGTTAGCGCCCAGAGTGAGAGTGTTTGACTGGTGCCGGTAGATTTTTTTTAGCAGTGCTCGACTTCGCGGGTACGCGTCTTCAAATGCCGCTCTGCGTTAAGTCTTAGTACAAAGTGTTCTTCTGAAATAGCGCCAGACGCGTAAGTATAACAAGTTTGTGTGGTTAGCCGGCGGCCGACGAGTGGACCATGGCGTCGCTGGACGGCACGGTTATGGTTTCACGCGCGCGTCGTCGCCCGGCCCGCTACTCGCCCGAGCTTACTACCGCCACCCCCTCGACTGCCGCCACTACCCCGCAACAGTCCGTTGCATCAGTTCTAACGGACATGCTCAACAATAACAACGGCGTCGGTTCGCTAATCGAGTCCACGCCACCCACAGCGCCGACCGAATTACGCCACGACCAACAGAACACCTTGATTACGGGCCCAAATCACGGCGATATGCCACCAACAACCAGGGGTCGTCCCCGACATGGCAAGTCCAAGAAAAAGAACAATAAGAAGCGTCATACATCGGTAGACGTTAATATACACAATTACACGAAGAGGCCGAGAGTTGCTAACGTCCTTCTTGAAAACGAGATGCTCATCGACGAGATCAGGACGCGGAAGGCACTTTGGCAGAGAACGCACGAACAGCATCATTCATCCACTCTTACTGCGCCACTTTGGGATGAAGTAGCAAAAATCCTTGATTCCACTTGTAAGTCCTGACAAATATTTATTCTCCACTGCATAGATGGTGCATTCTAAATCGCTTTATGCTCCTAGCAAAAAACCTTCGGTTTAATCAAAATCATCTATTTTTATTGCACGACAAGATAGGTCAGGTGTTCAGGTTTACATAATATATATAGGTAATTCGCGTGATAGTTATTGTTTTGATTTTGGTTGTTGACTTTATAGTATCAAATACACTTTTATCCCACGTTGTCTAAAAATATTGACAAAACGAATTTTATGAGTATTTTAGGAGTATTATTTTTTCGATATATTTATTTTTATTAAATGATGTCTAAAACATTATTAATCAATATTTATACGAAAAAATTGATTTTGAATTTCAAAATTATCAAAATGCATAATATACTTACTTACATCATTGTTTATTTGAAATATTTTATGATATAGTTTTGAACTAATAAGCCAGCTGCTAATATAGCATTATGAGAAATGTTTTTATCTAATTCTTTTATGAAGTCATAATATATGTCATATTACTTATCATATTCTTATTCCTAATTGGAACTAAGTCATAGTGCATATGTGAAGTAAAATATGTGTCAGACACTATATATTCAATGATTAAACCAAAAATAGGCAAAGCACATTTATCCCTGTCAATTCATAGAAATGTTAATCACTACATCAATGGAAAATAATTTAATAAAGAAGATTTTTACGTAAATCAGTAAAAAAAAGATTAATTTAATTAAAATTGATTTTTTTTCATACTCTTTGTAATATATATGGTTTAGTTCTTTTGTGTGTTACTGAATATGTTATAATTTATATATTACTTAATTTAAGTTAATTTAAAATGAAAAATATAGAAAATTATATCTGTTTTAGCGGACAATATACGGAGGAGGTGGAAAAGTCTCAAAGATCACTACAGAAGGGAATTGAAAAAGTCAATGACAGATGCTACTGCTCCACCTTCTGCTTGGCCTTATTATAAGAAAATGCGTTTTATGAAAAGTCAAATGTTTGTATCTCTTCGTCGAAAAAACGGTGAAGATCATCTTGAAATTCTAAGCGATGATGAAGAAGAAATAAATAATCAGTGGAATGGTCAAGGAGCACGAAAACAAGAATGTGGTTCTGATACGATTGATGGTTACGAAGTGTCAGATGAATACAATGAAATGGTGAAATTTGAACAGCATATGCAAACTCATGATGACATTGATGCTACTCAAGAAGATGAAGAAGAAGAGGATGACGAACGGCCTCAAGAGGAAGAGGAGCAAACTGAAGAGATGCAGGAAGAACAAGAACAGTCTGTAATACCACCAATGCAAGATGATAGACTTTCTACTATGCAACAGCAAACTGAAATGCCAGAATTAACTAGTATTGCCAATATACGCCAACAACCTGTTATTACGTCTGATATGAGAGCGACTGATTTGGTAGGTCTTCCGAATATAGTAACTACCACTGCCAGTTCTTTATCAAACAGACTGTCAGGTATACAGCAACGGGCTGCAGAAATTGTTCAACAATCAGAACGATTGTCTTCACTGCAGCAACAAGATGATATGAATGGGCATTTAGAAGACATGAACACAAGGCATAACACTTTGCAGGAACAACATGCTGAGATAAATAGTAGGATATCTGCCATTCAGAGAAATGCAGAAATAGCAGCAATTCAGCAACGAGCAAATATCTCAGCCATGCATGAGAGGGCTCAAATGTCAGTTCTACAACAGAGAGCTGAAATGCAGCAGAGAAATGGAGGTGTAGATAATGGTGTTGATAATTCGAATGTTTCACCTATTACTGGAGATGGTAGCATTTCTGATGACTATCACTTTTTCATGAGTTTGATGCCACACGTAAGGCATTTTACATCATTACAAAAACTCAAAGTAAGAAATAGAATACAACAGATCATTATTGAAGAAGCATCAAACTGCCAGTATGATCCTCTAGCAAATTAATCAGAAGAGGTTAATCTGTTTTTTTTTTATTTTTATACATTTGTGTATTGTCATGCAAATGTATTTGTTCTTAAAAAATTATGAATGCGTTGTTAAAGTGAATTTCAATACCAAAGTGATATATGCATTCAAATGTATAATTCTGTATATTATTAGAAATATTATATAATTTATATATGTAAAAATCTAAATAGTTTTGTTGTCATGAAAAGTATATAGGGTTAGATATATAATAGGTAATTATAACTACTCTGTAGGAATCAAAGCGTTATAAGTTATAAGTTTAATATACTTAACATACATTCTTATGATAAAATCTATTTTATTATAACTTTTCTATTCAAACAAATTATGCCACATTCTTTATATAATTAAAATAATGTATTTTATATTGAAAAACTGTATTAAAAGCTTTGAAGAACTATAAAACACGTTAACCAAGCAATCACACTAGTGCAGTGACAAAAAGTTTCTAATAGTTATATGGATCTAAAAAATTTAAAGTTTACTACTATGGAAGATACATAATAATAAAAATAACTAATTACTATCTTTGATTGCACCTACCATTAATGAACTATTTTGTTTATGATAAAAAAAATTATTTTTTCCTAAGAACACCAAGGAACTTTACTTTCACTATTACATTACTATTGAAAATAATAATAATTAACACTCAAGGTAATAATGATTGGTCAACTTCAGAAAAATTTCGAAACTAAAGTAGAAAAAGGAAATATATATTCGGTGAATGACATATTGTTCTGCATTGTTCTATGGTATCCAACCACAAGTAAAAAAGTAAAGTTTAAAAGTTTTTAAGTTTATTATGAATTCTTCGCTGTATGTGTGCATTAATATTACATGTTAAACAAACCAAATAGTTGTTTAAATGCGTGACTCGATACTTTTAAAAATATTTTGTATGTTTAATATTTCTAAGAACTTTTTATTATTTGTAAACTTGTAATGAATGAAAACGTTTACATACTGTATATATGTGCTCTTATTCATAAGTTTTTTACCTCGTAACTTGAGAATATAAGCGTTAAATTTGATTGGAGTTATTATTTGGCCTGAATAATACGAGTGCTGGCACTAGTGAAAACAGATTATAAAGAAATTTCCATTCGAATAATTATTGAGGGATTCAATATGTAAAAAATTATTTTCGTCTATACCTTTGTAGAATATAAAAATTCCAACACTACGAATTGTTAAAAATGTAATTTAAATCAATTCGAGTAACTCTCACGGTTGTATTAACACATTGAAAAAGTTATCAGTCTAAAATTAAGAATAGGAAAATAATATAGATTGGCTTATACAGAAGAAAGGCTAAACAAACGATGCATGAGAAGAGTAGAGGGTTCACAATTCAAAACAGTATACGCGAAGTAATTAGAGAGGAGAGGAAGAGGCAAATCCGGTCTCCCTTGCCCTGACCTTATCCGGCTGACGCGTCGATGGGTTCACACGTCAAGTGCACCAGTCGCTTTGCTCGACTTTATACCGTAATACCAATAGGTCAATGTACCGAGTTTCAATCTTTACGCATTGGCTTCGATCTCATTTGCCCAAGCCATGGCTTGTACTTTATGCTTTTTGGCAAATATATACATTGAAATATGCGTTACTATTAATTGATTCATTGTATTTCGTCCGACGTTTTTATCGATTCATTGACTGCTTATCATCATGTTACTGGTGATCTGCTTTGTGAATTGTACAAATATGATTTTACATTGCTGTAGATGATTTGGTTTTCTCAATCTTTGTAAAAAATACGTGTATAAGTCAATTTAATGTGTTTACTTGTCTTGTATTACATTTTACCATAGATCATATATGTCAGTTTTAATTTCCTAAAGTTATGTATCTCCCTTGACTGTGTTGGAAAATTAAAAAATAAAAACAATGCGAAAGCCAATGTTCATTAAATTTGAAAGAAGTCAGTTTTATTTCAAGCCTTACCTGCTTTTAATTGCTTAAATAATTTTTACTCGTACTAACTAAAAATAGGCTTGCAAGCGCGGTAATGTAGCAAAAAAATGTTTGAAAAAATATAAAAAATGGCAAGTGAGAAACCGTTAATAAAGCCAGAACCAAACAAAGAAAGTGCAGTATCGCAACCGCAAAAGAAAATAAAAAGAAATGGAGGAACGAGATCTAAAGAGTGAAGGAAAAAAATAAAGTCACGTACACCGGCGAAGTAACTAACCGCAAATAAGTGCATTGGCAGCTCGCAAAACGGACTTCTGTCAGACCGTATTCCACGCGAATTTCCGTACGATCATCCTGTGACTTTTCTGCTTCGCTTCTTGTAGTGATCGAAAAGCACCAGCCGCTCTGACCCAAATCGAAAAAGAGAACATTGTCGACAGAGACGTTTGTAGATTGCTATTGCGCTCTTCAAATACTCAATACAGAGACATTGAAATGTCAAGTTGTAACGAAGCTTCGCAGCAATTTTCAAACTCACATGCAATACGAATGGAATCGCTCGTGCTTTTGTGCATCGATGCATTGTTTTGATGGTCGAAAATTGAAATGTCGCCTCAATGTCAAATCAACGCTATCGAGAAGCTGACATTGTTTCACGAGAACGCTCGAATGCGATCAATTGAAAAATAAAGTGGTGGTTTCGTTGGCGACGAGCAACCGCGCCTTCTTCAGCGAGAGAGTGTAGAGTAAGCGCCGCCGGAGGCGCAGTAGAGACAGTTATTATGCAGCGGGGAGATCGAAGCTCGGAGGTGGCTTCTGTCATGCGCTGCTCGATCGCCCAGCTCACTCCTTTCGAAACTCCATTGGAAATAAAGACTGTGCTCCGGAATGCCGTATAGCTTTTGTTTTCCTCGTGGTTCTCGTCTCGAACATGCTATACATAGACACGGGCTATCGAGATGCGGCCGCAGAGTCGATGCTCCGTGCCACGCAAGAGGCATTAAGCTCTGCACGACCAGACCGGACGTTGTTTAAGCTCTTTTGTTGGATTTTTGACTTATGTTCCCGGAGTAGACTCGGTATCCTTACCCCCCTTTAACGCTTACTTACCGTCAACGATGCTCTCATTATATCGCAGCTTTAATCTTCCTGTGAATCTGTTGACTATCGGTTTTCCTGTTATCTCAATTTTTTGTTCTCAACAGCGATATCCAATGAAATTTTTTTTCAACGATGCTTTTTTAATCGAATGTCTAGTCTAATATATCTGTCATCATCGCTCGTTTAAGGCCCGGTGGATCACTCTTCACACCAGAGATCTCATGGTCATTTTTCCGTTTCGACTAATAAGGTTGTAGTTGCCTAGGGGCACACGCACATCCACAGGTGAATTCTCCATAAGTCATTAGAGCATCGATTGCAAAAACAAGATTTCTACCTAGCTACCGTGTGCGCAACAGGGAGAATCTTAGGATGGCAACGTTTTCTTATCGGTTCTCTACTACTCACGGCCACTAATCGCCACCAATTTATGAAACGCAGATGAAAAAGAAACGCTCGTCGAGACGTAAAATCGTCGTGGAGAAATCGTGCATCGCCCAGTAAATTTAATTAAATGTACGCGTAAAACCATCGCTCGCTCGCGAGCTTCGGCCGCCTATGTAGGAATGCGATTCTATGATCGGTGATACCGATATACCGCGCGTTGAAACAGACCGCGAGATTCGTTTTAGCGGTTTTACCCGTCTTCGTAGCTTTTTTCCCTCCTCCGGCAAAATTAACGTTAAATCTAGGAGTGATTCCAATGATAACCGGTTATAATCTGTCGAGATAAACTACTCATTCACCGCCAACTTTTCCACGTATTTGGAATTCGTAATTTCCAGATGAAATTTATTTTTCCGTGCGCTCGCTAAATAGCCTCTTTCCCGAGCGAATCCTATATATATATAAGACTTTACTTACGGACAGTTAGCTTATCGCGAAGGCCTAATGACTGTCGGGTGACCTGTCTTATTATTTCAGCAAAGTCCGCATAATTTTTAGGCCGAAAAATATAGAAATTTTAGGTCAAGTGATTCCAACGTTACACACAATTTATGAAGGCAATATGTTTGTTAACTTTCACAGTCGACTATTTTCATCAGTCAACTGTGTAGTTTCACAGGAAACATTTTTTTCCTCAAATATATTATCATAGAGTGTAGATCTTGTTCGTCGTGCATTTCATCGGGAGCATATTTTTCGAAGAGAAAAAGCACAGTGACGGCACTTTTATCAGAAAGACGGGAGCTTATCGTCCGTAGCTTATCTTGCGTTTAGACGACTTACTCTCTCATAACTCGTTCTAAGCTTCCCTGCACGCAATTCTCACCTTGTCGGATTTTTTTCTCAGAGGTTTGCTTCCTGTCACGCAATTATTATTCAGAGATTGTAAAGCTAATCGATGATCAGAGAAATACGTGCATGCGTGCAGCTTTGCGTTTCGCGGCGTGTATTGTAATTGAGAGAAAAGCTGGTTTATCTATAATGCATCGTTCTCTTTCCTTCTCACTAATTGCTTTATAAATTGGCAGTTCCTTGCAACAACTTACGGGTCATTTGTCTTATTTATTTTCATTCGCTACGAGTGGTGCGCGTCTTCGTTCCATCTGTGGCATCAATCACCTTAATAGTACCGTAATGTATTTGCAATTTTCAATTCAAATGAATTACGCGTAAAGACACGGCTGTTGTACGTACTCGCCGCCAACAAATACTTTTACGCGGCTGCGTCGAAAACCTGAAAAGCCTCTCAAGTTCCTTTTTTTCGGGCCTCTTATCAATCGGCATTACCGATTGCACTTTACAATAATCCCGAATTATATATATATATATACGTTTTCATCGAAGCGATAACTACGGTGCGGTTCGCAAATGGCGAAACTCGTTAAATTTTCAATCCGCACAAAGCCTCTTAATAAAAAGTAATCTCGAGACATAAATTAACATGAAAATAAAGTGGAGTGCGCAGGCAGCTGCATACTCGCCGGTGCGCGAATGAAAATGAATAAAAACGAAAGAAAGAAAGAAATGAAGTTGAAGCACGCAATACGGACGCACTGTAGCTACTCCCAAGGCGCGCACGGGAGAAAGAAGTGAAGAAGAAAAGTTTTATGGCGAGATTTACGACGCCTTTGCACACTGCTGGCTGTGGGATACGGCAAGAGTGGTGCACTCGCTCGCTCGCTAAAGCTATACGCGAAGGTGCACTTGTGCGCGCCAACCGTTGACTTGCCGACGCAGTGCACCGCCACGACATATCGCGCACCTACCTGCCGAAACATGCATTTGCGCTTAAGATTTTGACTCTCGCCTTCGAACGGCATGTGTATGTAGCTACTTCCGCGAGCAGACGCTGTTATATGCTAATCCACTGGACTTTTAGTGACGGGCACGCCGTGCCTCTTCGAATACCGTTGGATTAAATGGAATCTACTCTACGATTCTCTCGTCTCGAAAATTTTTCGTTCCACGAGCCGTGTCATGGTAATTATCTTTTACGGCGAGCGGCGGCGGTGGCGGCGGTGGCGGCGGTGGCGGCGGCTTTCGAACGGAAGCGAACTAAAAGGGGAACGCACGATTCATCCCAAGAATAAGGTGCGCAGACGAGAGCTCTATAACGATCAAGTCATCTCTCCTGGAAAGCGAACGGCCGTTTGCTTCGCGCGCGACCGAAGACCTCTACCTGCCGAGCCACTCGACGAATCGTAATGGAGAAGGAGAACGAACGGAAAGAAGCTGCAACCACTGCGTTCGCCAGCTATATCACGCCTGTACATCTGGCTGCCTTGTGTCCGCTTTCCCCTGTTGTCGAATCGTACACGTGCAGCAACATAACGGCACGGATCGACGCGCGATCTGCACTTTGCTCTCTCTCTCTTTTTTTCTCTCTCGCGAGCATTACTTTCTCTTGACTTGTCGCTCTTCGTACACATACCCCTCGTCGCGCGTCAATCCATTAGCGCTGCCGAGCTTTCTTTTTCCTCCCCCTCTCTCGCTCCTTTATCGTTTATCGCATCGAAAACGTTTATCCAAAGATAGAACCAATCCGATAATTTGCAAATAAGCGGAGCTGAGCTCTTGTTGCGCGGAAGCAACGTGCGATACATGCTCGGCCGACCAGCGTTACAACACGGTCGGCGCACGCGCAACGCTATACTTATTGCTCGCGCGTTACCTGCATCGTAATTTGCGCCAGAGTAATGACGATTTTCAATTATTTTAGCCTGATTAAATGGGATCGCCTGCGCTTCAGCAAGTTCTACCGACATTTGAAATATTTATGACGCCAGGCGCGGTAACCGCAACAACGCCAATTCTTAGCAAGCTTCTGTCTTTCGCGTCGGTCATTCATTATTTTAGCACACTTCATAACAGCCCTGAAGCTTTTATGATTTTTCGTTACTTACGGATTGACCGATCACTTGTTATGCATTAATTATATCTCACACAGATTTATAATTGAAAAACAAGATATATCATTTTTTTTCTTTTTCGTAGTACGGCTTGACATTACTGAGAGAGAAGGGGAAGATACCGTACGATGATAACAATAAGCCAGCTTTTTACGCGAGCTGAAAAAAGAGACAGGAAAGAATATAAATGTTCCCGGCCCAAATTTTATAATTGATGTTGAGAACCAAGCGAACAATAAGGTCAGCTTCCGTGAAAACCGTAAAAGCACACGCAATCCAGCCGCGTCACCCGACAAAGGCCCTTCGGGCGCATATTCTCTAAAAAAATGTTCGAACGCCCAAAATGGAATGTCGCCCGCGGTGTAATCCAATTTGCAATGACCGCGTAAGATTACCATCAACTCGACGATTTCAAATTCGCCTCGGTCATTTCGCTTGGCGCTTTGTGTTGAGCCAAATTTACGACGCGATGATTTTTAGCGCGACGTTTACAGCTACCTTATGCTTCTTTT